GTTTCCATTTGTCATATCTTTTGAAATAACGGAGAAAATTCGATTTATTCCGGAAAGAAATTTAAAATCGTCAAAACGGTTCCTAAAATGATCATTTAAGTTGATATAAACATTTAATTATTTCTTTAATTTGCTTAAACCTTAAGATATTGGAAAAGATGTATAAAAACTTCCAGAATAAATTGTCTAATGTACAGGTTTGTTAAAGATTCTTGAAATAAATATTTTTTTAATAAATTTTTATCCCGGCGCATCCACCATTTTTTCAAAATCTTAAAATGTGGTCAAATCGGTCATCAATTGGATCACTTTTATCAGGAATTTTCCAACGATAACGAATATATGCTTCCTTGTGTCATATCTTTTAAAAGCTAGGAGAAAATCGGATTTTTCCTAACAATGTTTAAGATTGTCGAATCTAAAATGATTTAATTTGGTATAAATGTTTGATTATTTCGTTAATTTGCTTAAATGTCGAGATATTGGAAGAGATGCATAAGAACTTCTACAATAAATTTTCTAATCTACAGGTTTGTTAGATTCTTGAAATAAAAATTTTTTAATTTAATTTTTTCCCGGCGCCTCCACCATTTTTCAAGACATTAAAATATGTTCAAATCCGTCATAAATTGGATCACTCTTATCACGAATTTTCTGAGGATGACGAATATATGTCTTCTTTTCTCATATCTTTTGAAACAACAGAGAAAATCCGATTTTTCCAAAAAAATTAAAATCGTGAAATCAGTTCGTAAAAGGATCATTTAACTTAATATAAATATTTGATTATTTCTATAAAATGCTCAAATCTCGAGAAATTGGAAGACATGCATTAAAATTTCTAGAATAAATTTTCCAACGCACAGATTTGTTAAAGATACTGGAAATAAATATTTTTGAAATAAATTTTTATCCCGGCGCCTCCACCATTTTTTCAAAATTTTGAAATGTGGTCAATTCGGTCATAAATTCGACCAATCTTATCAAAAATTTCCTGTGGACGAGGAATATGTGCTTCCTTTTGTCATATCTTTTGAAACAACGAAGAAAATACGACTTTTTCTAAAAAAAATAAGATCGTCTAATCGGTTCCTACAATGATCATTTAATTTGGTATAAATATTTGATTATTCTGTTAATTTGCTCAAATCTCGAGATATTGGAGGAGATGCATAAGAACATCTACAATAAATTTTCTAATCTACAGGTTTGTTAAAGATTCTTGAAATAAATTTTTTTTAATTTAATTTTTTCCCGGCGCTTCCACCATTTTTTCAAGACATTAAAATATGTTCAAATCGGTCATAAATTGGATTACTCTTATCAGGAATTTTCCGAGGATGACGAATATATGCCTTCTTTTCTCATATCTTTTGAAACAACGGAGAAAATCCGATTTTTCCAAAAAAATAAAATCGTGGAATCGTTTCCTAAAAGGATCATTTATCGTGGTATAAATATTTGATTGTTACTTTAAAATGCTCAAATCTCGAGAAATTGGAAGACATGTATTAAAATTTCTAGAATAAATTTTCTAACGCACAGATTTGTTAAAGATTCTGGAAATAAATATTTTTGAAATAAATTTTCATCCCGGCGCCTCCACCATTTTTTCAAAATTTTAAAATGTGGTCAAATCGGTCATAAATTCGACCATTCTTATCAGAAATTTCCCGAGGATGAGGGATATGTGCTTCCTTTTGTCACATCTTTTGAAACAACGAAGAAACTACGACTTTTTCGAAAAAAAATTAAGATCGTTTAATCGGCTCCTAAAATGATCATTTAATTTGGTATAAATATTTGATTATTCTGTTAATTTGCTCAAATCTCGAGATAATGGAAGAGATGCATAAGAACTTCTACAATAAATTTTCTAATCTACAGCTTTGTTAAAGATTCTTGAAATAAAAATTTTTTAATTTAATTTTTTCCCGGCTCCTCCTACATTTTTTCAAAATATTAAAATATGACCAAATCGGTCATAAATTGGATTACTCTTTTCAGAAGTTTTCCGAGGGTGACGAATATATACTTTCTCTTTTCATGTCTTTTGAAACAACGGAGAAAATCCGATTTTTCCAAAAAAATAAAATCGTGGAATCGTTTCCTAAAATGATCATTTAACTTGGTATAAATATTTGATTGTGTCTTTAAAATGCTCAAATCTCGAGAAATTGGAAGAGATGCATTAAAACTTCTAGAATAAATTTTCTAAGGCACAGATTTGTTAAAGATTCTGGAAATAAATATTTTTGAAATAAATTTTCATCTCGGCGCCTCCACCATTTTTTCAGAATTGTAAAATGTGGTCAAATCGGTCATAAATTTGACCACTCTTATCAGAAATTTCCCGAGAATGAGGAATGTGTGCTTCCTTTTGTCATATATTTTGAAACAACGGAGAAAATACGACTTTTTCGAAAAAAAATTAAGATCGTCTAATCGGTTCATAAAATGATTATTTAACTTGGTATTATAAATATTTGATTGTTTCTTTAGAATGCTCAAATCTCGAGAAATTGGAAGAGATATATTAAAACTTCTAGAATAAATTTTCTAACGCACAGATTTGTTAAAGATCCTGGAAATAAATATTTTTGAAATAAATTTTCATCCTGGCGCCTCCACCATTTTTTCAAAATTTTAAAATGTGGCCAAATTGGTTATAAATTGGAGCAATCTTATCAGGAATTTTCCGAGGAAAACGAATATATGCTTCCTCGTGTCATATCTTTTAAAATCTAGGAGAAAATCGTATTTTTCCTAAAAATGTTTAAGATCGTGGAATCAGTTCCTAAAATGATCATTTAATTTGGTATAAATGTTTGATTATTTCGTTAATTTGCTTAAATATCGAGATATTGGAAGAGATGCATAAGAACTGCTACAATAAATTTTCTAATCTACAGGTTTGTTAAAGATTCTTGAAATAAAAATTTTTTAATTTACTAATTTTCCCGGCGTCTCCACCATTTTTGGAAGATATTAAAATATCGTCAAATCGGTCATAAATTGCATCACTCTTATTAGGAATTTTCCGAGGGCGACGAATATATACTTTCTTTTCTTATACCTTTTGAAACAACGGAGAAAATCCGATTTTTCCAAAAAAAATTAAGATCGTGGAATCGGTTCCTAAAATGATCATTTAATTTGATATAAATATTTGATTGTTTCTTTAAATTGCTCAAATATCGAGACATTGGAAGAGTTGCATTAAAACTTATAGAATAAATTTTCTAACGCACACATTTTTGAAAGACTCTGGAAATAAATATTTTTGAAATAAATTTTTAGCCCGGCGCCTCCACCATTTTTTAAAAATTTTAAAATGTTGTCAATTCGGTCATAAATTCGACCACTCTTATCAGAAATTTCCCGAGGATAAGGAATATCCGCTTCCTTTTGTCATAACTTTTGAAACAACGGAGAAATTAGACTTTTTCGAAAAAATAATAAGATCGTCTAATCGGTTCCTAAAATGATCATTTAATTTGGTGTGAATATTTGATAACTTCGTTAATTTGTTCAAATCTCAAAATATTCGGAGAGATTCTTCAAATAAATATTTTTGAAACAAATTTTTATCCCGGTACCTCCACAATTTTTTCAAAATTATAAAATCGGGTTAAATCGCTCATAAAATGGATTACTCTCATCGGGAATTTTCCAAAGATAACAAATATGTGCTTCCTTTTGACAAATTTTTTGAAATAACGGAAAAAATCCGAATTTATGATCGTCTAATCGCTTCTTAAAATACTTCTTTAATTTAGTCAGAAATCAAGTTATTTAAAGAGAAAGATAAACGCTTCTCAAATAAATTCTTTCATGTTGAGGTTTATTAAAATTTCTTCTAAAAAATCGGTTCAAGACTCTTGATTTACTCGTAAGTTGATTCGGATTAGTTTTTCCTCTTTTCAATATTTTAATTATTCTGCTCTTTTTTTCATACTGATTTTCATCAAAAACTTCGTTCCTCTTTTTCAGTTTTTAATTTCTTGGTATTTTCTTGTTCTTGTTTTTTTAGTCCGTCATGGAAACTCCTTTCACCTTGTTAATTTTTTTCTTGGTTTCTTAGTTGTTATTAAAAAGTAATTAATTTAGTCGCTGTTACTCAGCTTTCACTATTCGGTGTTTTAATTATGTGTAAATTATGTAACAAGCACTTTTGTATACTTTATGGTGCAGTGAAGACATTTCTATAAACCTCAACAATTTTTCATCGCCACTCGGGCCTTAAAACCGCCATTACGACCCTGCCTAGCTCGCTTGCAGCTCCCGTGGCACGAGTACATATCAATTCAGCGCACCAAACGGTGGATTACAAATAAGAAGCTCTATTGGGGTTCGGTCACGTATTTCGCATCAGAAATGAAATATGCCACTTACAATTCTGTTTCTAGAATCCAACACTACCCCGAATCGATCTCGCAATATCCGCCTCATAGAAAATTCAAAATCTCCAATAAAATAAAACGTGTTTACGATTTCCCGCTCGCACTAATAATCGCAGAGATGAGCATCGGGGGTGTTCCGGGAGACATTCGTCAAATTGTCACGACACGGTTATTAATGGCCGGCCGCCTCCCTCCCTCCGGCGCCCCTTTTCGCTGATGACTAAAATACATTAACATGCTTCCCTACACAATGCTGAGCTAGTCATTACATGTTATGAAAGCCGGCGTTAAAACGCATTATGCGATCTTTAGGGGACATTTATCACAAAACGCTTTAAAAGATACAGCCGGAATAAACGACTTTTACCTGCGATTACACGCGATGACGCCGACATCGACTTCGCATTAACTCTTTTTGTGGTAATCGGCGGCGGCGGCACGCAGGGATGACCTATATTATAACGAAAAAAATGCAGACACGTCAAACATACGTGATTTTCCAAATGTATTAATAGTTGTTTATTTATCAAGGGTATTATGAAGTGGTTTATGCCCTAGGGTAGAGTAGCAGAATTGACTTTCAGTGTTGTTGTGCAGGAATGTCCAACATCAACAATTCGGGACCCCCATCAAGAAAGGGAGTGAGGGGGCAGAGGCCGTCAGCTCGCCGGAAAGCATGCCGGACTACGATCCACCTCCTTTGAGACCCATAGACCACTATCTCCGCCCGGAGTGTCCCTGCTTGTCCAAGAGGGCGACGGTGGCCTTGTTTAGTTGCTTAGGTTTTATCATTATGTTCGGGATGAGGACCAGTATGGGGGTTGTGAAGCTACAGTTCGAGGTAAAATTCAAGCCCCAATTTTTTTTTTTTTGTAATTTGGTGAATTTATGATGTTGTAGAACCAGACGAACGAGACCAGCGCCGCCGTCGACTCGGCCATCTTCTGGGGCTACTTTATAACCCAAATTCCTGGAGGTCTCATCGCTGCTGCCTACCCAGCGAACAAGCTCTTCGGTCTGGCCATTGGCACGTCGTCGTTCCTCAACCTCTTCGTGGCCCCCTTTTACAAGGACCGTCAGATTCTCATCATCATCAAAGTGATGCAGGGTCTGGTGGAGGTAATTTCTGTTCTTACAAAGAGATATCTTCTACAGGGGGTGTGGTGTTTCAGGGGGTTACCTATCCGGCTTGTCATGGTATCATGCGCTACTGGGCGCCCCCTCTGGAACGTTCCAAACTGGCCACGCTGGCCTTCAGCGGCTGCTACGCCGGAGTCATGTTTTCCATGCCCATCTCCAGCGAGCTGGTGAAGAGGTTAGGCCCCATGTCTCCCTTCTACTTCTACGGGGTCGTGGGCTTGATGTGGTACTTGGCTTGGTTGTGGCTGGTGTTCGAGAAGCCGGCGTACCACCCGGTCATCGACCGCTCCGAGCTCTACTACATAGAGAACTCCCTAGGGCATGCCACCGAGAATTACGTGTCCCCCAACCTCGCGAACACGCCCTGGAAGACCTTCTTCACTTCCATGCCTTGTTACGCGATTTTCGTGGCGAACTTCTGCAGGTCCTGGAATTTTTACCTCCTGGTGCTGTTTCAAGCGACGTACTTCAAGAACGCCTACCACGTGGACATCGAAGAGGTGACTGCTGTTATTTTACGCCCACCACGTCTACAAATTTCTTGTTTTTGGTCAGAATGGCTTCCTGGGTGCGCTGCCCCACTTCCTGATGACCATCATCGTCCCCAGCGGCGGCATCCTCGCCGACCGTCTCCGTAAGAAGGGACTTCTTAACACCACCCAGGTCCGCAAGCTCTTCAACTGCGGCGGCTTCGGAATGGAGGCTACGTTCTTCCTGATCATGGCCTTCTCCGATACCTACGTAGAGGGCATGGCGGCGCTCACCATCGGGGTGGCTTTCAGCGGCTTCGCGATCTCGGGCTTCAACGTCAACCATCTGGACATCGCGCCGCGCTACGCCAGCATCCTCATGGGCGTGTCCAACGGGATCGGGACCATCGCTGGGTGCATCTGTCCCTACGTGGTCCACCTAATCACGAATGAAGACGAGGTAAATTTTTGGCAACCGTTAAAATGAAACAGGTTATAGCCGAATGGTGCGTTTCTGCGAGAGCGCGCACGATATTCGGGGAACAATGGTATCATATCTGGGAATATGAAGGGCGAAATGACATGTATGCGGAGTTCATTTCAGCGGAGACGATCTGGAGGCACTCGTGTGTGAAAAGGGAGGGTTGATGGAATGCGATATGGGGTTTGGGGTGTGTCGGGACTTTGATTTCGCTTTGTAACTATTCACGTTATCTTGCAGAGCCGCAAGCAGTGGCGCTACGTCTTCATCCTCTCCGCCTTGATCCACTACGCCGGCATCATCTTCTACGGCTTTTTCGCCTCCGGCGAGCTCCAGGACTGGGCCGACCCGCGCGCCGCCGAGGACAAGCAGTGGAACCAGCTGAACGAGGCAATGCCCGTCAAGGCACCGGTACGTCCCCTACTTAATAATAACAATAATAATAACAATTTGTTGCGCAGAACCAGAACAACGGCCTGCTGGAGCGCCAGCTCAGCGGCAAGCTCAACTACGGCTCGGTGGACACACCGGCGCCGCCGCCCAAGCCCCAACTACCGGCCGCCCCCGGCAGGGTGCCGCCGGAAGCGCCGCCCCCGGCGCAGCCCCCGTCGGTCCCGTTCGTGCCCAGCGGCAACCCCTTCCTGTCCGGGAACAACCCGTTCCGGCAGGAGCAGGTGCAGCCGCAAGCCCAGGACACGTACATGCACGGTACTGTCTACGACCGCACGTACTAAGGGTACATGTATACTTGGTTTCATTTGCGGGAAGATTGGTTTATTTTAGTGATAAATAGATTTTTTGGTTCGACAAGTGGAACCAAGTATTGATAAGGAAAGTGCGATAACTAGGGTCTAATTTGCATTTGTCGTCACAAGGGCCTGAACTATAGTTAAAAAAATGTTGAAACGGACAAATTCGTCAAATGATTTTGTTTGTTTCAAGGTTTCTTCTATAATCATTTTTTTGAGTTCCAGTTACTAGAAGTAGTTAAACGTGGCCCTAGTTTGGGATAGGTGAATTTTAAGTGCATTTTGCAATGTATAAATAAAATTTAGAACATTTAGTGGTCCCAGAAAATTAAGAAAAATAGTGTGCAAAAGTCGTCTTTTACATTTTTTTGAGCAGATTTTTCTTAAATTGTGTTACTAAAACTGTGAAAATTTTGAGAATTTTCAGAAGCTTTAGAATTTCTGAAAGCGCAAAGGTCTGCTGAAATCGTTGACGTCTTTGAAATATTTATAATCTTTATAATTTTGGAAATCCCCACGAAAGTCTTCAAAATTTTGGGACTATCCAGATTTGAAAATCAGAATTTTCGTAATCTCTGGAATTTGTGCAATCTTTGGAATATTTGAGTTTTTGGAATCTTCAGTCTTCGAAATTTTCAGAATCTTCAGATTCTTTAGAATTTTTGAAATTTCAAGTCTTGATTTATCGGAAATTTGAAATTTCTGAAGTCTCTGGAATCTTCGCAATCTTCATTTTCTGCCAAATTTTTAAATATCTTTACTAATATTCAGAATTCTTATAATTTCTGGAATTTCAAGTGTCTTGGAATATCCGAAATCTAGAATTTCTGAAATCTCTGGAACCTTTGGAATCTTTATGATCTTCAGAATTTTTGGAATCTTCACTCTTCGAAATCTTCAGAATCTTTGGAAGCTTCAATATCTTCAGAATTTTGGAATCTTTAGAACCTCTGAAATCCTAACAGTCTCTGAATATCGGAAATTTGAAATTTCTGAAGTTTCTGGAATCTTTGAAGTTTCCGGAATCTTTAGTCTTTAGGATCTTCGAAATCTTCAATACCTGAAAAAGCTTTTAAATCTTTAGTCTTACAAATATTCAGAATTCCTAGAATTTCTGGAATTTCAAGTGTCTTGGAATATTCGAAATCTTCGGAATTTCTGAAAACTCTGGAACCTTTGGAATCTTTATGATCTTCAGAATTTTTGTAATCTTCACTTTTCGAAATATTCAGAATCTTTGGAAGCTTCAATATCTTCAGAATTTTATAATCTTTAGTACTTCTGGAATCCTAAGAGTCTCTGAATATCGTAAATTTGAAATTTCCGAAATCTTTGGAGTTTTCAGAATCTTTAGAATTTTTGAAATTTCAAGAGGTATATAGCAAATTTGAAATTTCTGAAGTCTCTGGAATCTTTGCAATCTTTATGATGTTCAGAATTTCTAGAATTTCTGGAATTTCAAGTGCTTTGGAATATACGAAATCTTTGGAATTTCCCAAACCTCTGAAATATTTGAATCTTTATGATCTTCAGAATTTTTGGAATCTTCACTCTTCGAATAATTCAGAATCTTTGGAAGCTTCAATTTCTTCAGAATTTTGGAATCTTTAGTACTTCTGGAATCCTAACAATCTCTAAATATCGTAAATCTGAAATTTCTGAAATTTTTGTTTTTTTCAGAATTTTTGGATTTTTCAGCCTTCTGAATCTTTAGAATCTTTAAAATTTTTGAAATTTCAAGAGTCTGGGTATATCGGAAATTTGAAATTTCTGAAGTCTCTGGATATCTTTGAAGTTTCTGGAATCTTCACTGCCCGCAAAATTTTTAATATATTTAGTCATACAAATAATCAGAATGCCTAGGATTTCTGGAATTTCAAGTGTCTTGGAATATCCGAAATCTTTGGAATTTCCGAAATCTCTGAAACTTTTGGAATCTTTATGATCTTCAGAATTTCTGAAATCTTTACTCCTCGAATTATACAGAATCTTTGGAAGCTTCAATATTTTCAGAATTTTGGAATCTTTAGTACTTCTGGAATTCTAACAGTCTCTGAATATCGTAAATTTGAAATTTCTGAAACCTTTGGAGTTTCAGAATTTTTGGATTCTTCAGCCTTCTAAATCTTCAGAATCTTTAGAATTTTTGAAATTTCAAGAGTCTCGGTATATCGGAAATTGGAAATTTCTGAAGTCTCTGGATATCTTTGAAGTTTCTGGAATCTTCACTACCCGCAAAATTTTTAATATCTTTAGTGTTACAAATAATCAGAATTCCTAGAATTTCTGGAATTTCAAGTGTCTTGGAATATCCGAAATTTTTGGAATTTCCGAAATCTCTGAAACCTTTGGAATCTTTATGATCTTCAGAATTTCTGAAATCTTCACTCCTCGAATTATACAGAATTTTTGGAAGCTTCAATATTTTCAGAATTTTGGAATCTTTAGTACTTCTGGAATTCTAACAGTCTCTGAATATCGTAAATTTGAAATTTCTGAAATCTTTGGAGTTTCAGAATTTTTGGATTTTTCAGCCTTCTAAATCTTCAGAATCTTTAGAATTTTTGAAATTTCAAGAGTCTCAGTATATCCGAAATCTTCGGAATTTCTGAAATGTCTGGAACCTTTGGAATCTTCATGATCTTTAGAATTTTTGGAATATTCACTCTTCGAAATATTCAGAATCTTCAGGAGCTTAAATATCTTCAGAATTTTGGAATCTTCAATATTTGAAATATTCCGAATCTTTAGTTCTTCTGGAATCCTAAGAGTCTCAGAATATCGTAAATTTGAAATTTCTGAAATCTCAAGAACTTGGGAAAATTCTGAATCTTTGGAGTTTCTGGAATCTTCATAATCTTCAGAATCTCAGGAATCTTCAAAGTCGTTTTTTGAGGAAGTTTGGAACAGATTTTTCTTAAATTGTGTTACTAAAAAATCTCAAAACGCCGATTGTGAGTTAAAATTGTAATTTTTTAAGAAATAAACCTTCATAGAATTGAGCCAAAAATTGTAAGTCTAAAAATTTTGAAAAGCAAGAATCTGAAAAAAGTGCATTTATAAAAAAACATAAATATTTTGGAACTGGACGAAAAATTCGAAAAGGTTTTTTTTATATAATAAAGAATGAATGTGGTAATCTAATATAAAATAATAATAGTGGAATAAGTAAGAATGATGAGATAATGTTTACTTACGCCACATGTGGAAAACACTTGCCATACGAGTATGTTAATAACGTGTTAGCCTACGTGTTGCGTTGAAACTTTTATCTACGACTTGTCTAAAGCAGCTCGATTATAGTCTAATTGTGTAAATTCGAAATTGTCATATCAAATATATTTTTAGGTGAATTTATCACCAATGATTCAGATTAGTTCGAGTTGTCAAGCATTTCGTCAAAACTGGAATAAATGAATGCCATAATCTAACATTACCGCACTAGAGCGGTATATAACTCATTTGTGCCTCAAATGATCATGAATGAAACTTATTTATGTTACAAGTACACGTATAACCACAAAATTTTATCTACGACTCTTTGTGCACTATTTTAAACCGCACCTTATTTTCTCGGACTGGTCAAGCGTCGGGGTAACTAGCTCTAGTACTATCTACAATTACTACGATTAATACTGTACAGAACTAGAATGATTTGGAAGAGTGTAACTTATAACTGAGGTTTTGAAAGAATTTTTGGAAATATTTTGTAAAAACTGCAATTGTTAGACGAGGCACTTTTTTTAAAAAACTTACCTTTACATTAGGTAGATAGAAAAAAATTGTCAATTTGTATAGAATTTGTTACCACTGAAGACCTAAGTAGCTAAACAGAACATAGATTCTACTGATTTCTAGAACCTTTGTTTGAGCGACTATATCTTAAGGCATATAAATAATAACTAAAACATTTATCTTGACACTGTACTAGGGATAAACTGTGTTATATATAAAGTCATATTTTATTCTTCTATCATCAATCATTTGATGTTGGTATTTTCTTGAGAATTTCTCGGAGAAGCGTCCGCTTTGTGTCTACATCATCTGAACCGTGGCTCGTAGATAGTAGTTCCGCCGGTCTATATAGCAACTTCCATTTAAAAAAAAAAAAAAAAAAATTCTCCGACATTTTCTCTCTGTAAAATTTCGTTGTGTACATAATCATATCTTTTTCCTTCATTTCGTCGCGTTATAGAACGCTAAGTATTTGAGGACTTACCTCAAGGCTGTGTTGACAATAATAAAGGTGAGTTCATCTCACCGAATCGTTGATAATAAAGGAGATAATAATTAGGTTAAGTCTGAATGCGCGAGAAGGTATACCGAGCCAGAGAAGTCTTGACAAAGTACAAAGGGAAGAGGGCGCGATCATTAAATTGTGTTGCTCATACAATAGCGGCAACCCTCCATACACGTCGCTGCAACCCGTTATACGCGTGTACGTTGGGTTGCCTATCCGCTTGTTCGAAGTACGTGCTACATTAAATTTGACTATATATTTTATGTTTCGTTTTCGCTGCAGCAGCACCTATTTCTTCCAAGCGAGTCGTGTATGAAGTGTAAATTTAAATCGGTGTTAGATGTTTTCTATGTTCCTTCCACTTCTTCACTGTCTCTCTCTAACTTGTCAATAATTGCGTAAATGTATAAAATGTACTCTTGTTTGCGTGGTGTGGATTCCGCGCCATTGTTTTTCGTTTCGGAAATGAGCAATACCTGCTTTTAGGCTACTTTTACCGTTCGTTTTACATTTGTACCATTCTTGGCAAGGATTGAGTCCGGGGACCGGATGATCCTTATGGACTGGATTCGTGCGAAGAGCAGTAGTGTAGAGGCAATAAATGATGCAAATATTCATGTTAAATTTAGTGTTTTTTAAAACCTTGCATATCTATGTGTTTTAATAGGACCTAAGTGAATAAAGCGTAATATATCAATGCATGCACAGATATTATAATGTTGAGCATCTCGGATAGGTTGTTTTACGTTCTGTTGAATTAGTGGATCTGTGTTGAATTTTGAAAATGTGATCGTTTACAGGTCTGTGTAAGAATCTGGAAACATGTATAATAAAGAATTCTGTTACAAGGCAGTTTTGCAGTTTTATTAACAAAATATTAATCTAGATCTACAATAAATTATTAGTAACTAAGACTTGTGGCAAACTCAGCACTGGACTACTGGTAACGATTCTCGCAGAAGATGGGTTATAGGCTAAATTCTACTGCAGTCTGTTGAAAAAAATTCCTCGTCGTCTTTGACGTTTGGGGGGGCCTTGGGCGTAGGGGGGCTTTGGGTTGGTCGACACGTAGTAAACTCCTCGTGCCCTAAAAGCAAAATTTTCAGTTGGTGGCAATTTTTGAAGTTAAAATTAAAAAAAAAAACACTAGAAATAAGGCATAAAGGAAAGAGTAAGAATGAAAAATATAGCGAATAAGACTAAAGAGGTAGAGCAAAACTGGCTGAAGAAGCAGATTTTTTGCTCAAAAATGAAAAAAAATAATGTACAGATTCAGTCAATGGCAAGATTAAAAACAATAAAGTAAACGGAGGAAGACACATCATGTTCGGGAACTGATGGTAAGTAGAAAACCTCTGATGGAAATAATAAAAGTAACGAATATGGAGAAAACACATTGATGGGAAAAGTGATTCCTCAAGATTTCTCGAGAATTTTACGAGATTTCTTCGAATTTCCTTGAGGTTTCCCGAGACTTCGAAATTTAGAGATCTCCAGATTTCGAGATTTCAAGATTTCTCAAGACATATCAAGAGAATTCTTAGGATTGTTTAAGATTTCTCAAGGCTTCTCAAGAATTTTACGAGATTTTCTCGTGATTTCTAACGATTTCCCAGAATTTTTCAAGATTTTCCAACATTTTTCAGGGTTTCTAAAGATTTCTCGAGGTCCCCAGGTTTTGAGATTTTGAAGCTTCTCGAGATTTATTGAGGTTTCTCAAGATTTCTCAGGATTTCTCAGGACTTTTTAAGATTTCTCTAGATTTCTTTAAATTTCAAGGTTTCGAGCTTTGGAAATTTCGGGATTTCTTAAATTTTTCAAGATGTTTCAATATTTCTCAACATGTCTCAAGATTACTTAACTTTTCTCAGAATTTCTCAGGATTTCTCAAGGTTTCGAGATTCGAGATTTCTAGATTTCAAAATTATTCAAGATTTCCCAAAATTTCTCAAGATTACTCACGATTTCTCTTTTTTTTTTTGGATTCAATAAATGTATTATTATTATTATTATTATTATTATTATTTCGAGATTTCAAAATTCCACGATTTCTCAAGATTTCTCAGGCTGTCTTCAGACTTTTTGAAATCTTTGAAATGTTCACTCTTCGCAATATGCAAAATATTAAAAATTTTCAGAATCTTTAGAGTTTCTAGGATCCCAAAAGTCTAGGAGTATCCATAAATTTAATATTTCTGAAATCTCTGGAATATTTGAAGTTTTTGGAAAATTTATAATGTCTAGAAACTTCGAAATCTCCATCAAAGTCTTCAGAATTTAGGGAATCTCCCGACTCCGGAATATTCAGAATCTTTATAGTCTTTAGAATATCTGGATTTTCCAGAGTCAAAGATTATCTAGAATCTTTCAAATGGAATTTCCACAAAGTTTGGAACTTTTAACGTATTTGAAATCTTTATAATCTCCTGATCTTCACTATTTGAAATATTCAGAATCTTCAGAATCTTTAGTAATTCTGGAACGCTAAGAGTTTCGGAAAATCGGAAATTTGATATTTCTGGAATATCTGAAATCTTTCTCAAGATTTACCAAAATTTCTCAAGATTTTTGAACATTTCTAAAGATTTCTCAAGTCCTCTCCGACACATGCTCGAGGTTTCTTGAAATTTCTGGAGATTTTTTAAGATTTCTCAGGATTTCTCATAATTTCTCAAGATTTCCTAGAATTTCTCAAGGTTTCAAGATTCGACATTTCAAGATTTCTCAAAATTTATCAAGAATTTTCAAGATTACTCACGATTTCTCAACATTTCTCAAAAGTTTCTCAAACTTTCTCGAGGTTTCTCCAGGTTTCTAAATTCCAGGATTTCTCAAGATTTCTCAGAATTTTTTAAGATTTCTCCAGATTCTCAGAATTTCTTAACATTTCTCAAGATTTTTCGAAGTTTTCAGGTTTCGAGATATTGAGATTTCTCAAGATTTCTCAGGATTTCACAAAGTTTCCAGATTTAGAGAGAGTTTTTATACGATTTTTCAAAATTTGTCCTAGAGATGCTCGAGATTTCTCAAGATTTTTATGAAAATTCCTCCAGATTCCTAAAAATTTCTCAAGATTTCTCTGGATTTCTAAAAATTTCTCAGGGTTTCTCAAGTTTTCTCAACACTTCTCAAATTTCTTTGAATTTTTCAAGATTTCGACGTTCCGAGATTTCTTATGACGTCTCAGGATTTTTCTAGGTTTCAAGATTTCTCAAGATTTTTACGAACATTCTTAGATATTTTATCTCAAGATTTCTAAAAAATTCACAGGGTTTTTCAGGATTTATCAAAACTTCTCTAAATTTCTTAGAATTTCTCAAGCTTTCGACGTTTCGATATTTCTCACGACATCTCAGGAGTTTTTAATTTCCAGTTTTCGAGATTTCTCAAGAATTTTACGAGAATTCCTCGATATTTCCTCAAAATTTTTTAAAATTTCTAAAGTTTTCTTAGGGTTTCTCAAGGTTTCGCAAGATTTCTCTGGATTTCTCAAAATTTCCCAAGGTTTCGAGAATTCGTGATTTCTCAAATTTATCAAGATTTTTCAATATTCTTCAAGATGTCTCAAGATTAGTAAAGATTACTCAAGATTTCTCAAGTTTTCTCAAGATTTCCAAACATTTCTCAAGATTTCTCAAGATTACTCACGTTTTCTCAATATTTCTCAAGAATTGTAGGAGCTTTCCTCACGATTTTTACAGGCTTCTCGAGGTTTTTCAAGGTTTCTCAAGATTTCTTAAGACTTCTGAGGGTTCTTCAAGATTTCTCATGATTTTTTAACATTTATCAAGATTTCCCAGAATTTCTAAAGATTTCTCAACATTTCTCAGGATTTCTCCAAATTTTTTGAAGCTTCCAGGTTTCAAGAATTTCAAATTTCTCAAAATGGCTCCGAGATATGCTCGAGGTTTCTCAAGATTTCTCATAATTTCTCAGTTTCCAGATTTAGAGAGAGAGTCTTTATTCCGATTTCTCAAAATTTCTTCGAGACACGTTCGAGATTTCTCAATATTTTTACGAGAATTCTTCGACATTTCCCTAAGGTTTTTTAAGATTGTTTCAAATTTCTCTGGATTTCTCAAGATTTCCCAAGTTTTCTCAGAATTTATAAGGATTTCTCAAGGTTTCGAGATTCGAGATTTCTAGATTTCTCAAGATTATTCACGATTTTTCAACATTTCTCAAGATTTCTACGAGCTTTCCTCGAGATTTCTAGAGGTTTCTCGAGGTTTTTCGAGATCTTTCTGGATGTCTTAAAATTTTCCAAGGTTTCGAGAATTCGTGATTTCTCAAATTTCTCAAGATTTTTGAATATTTCTCAAGAATTCTACGAGCTTTCCTCACGACTTTCAGAGGCCTCTCGAGGTTTTTCAAGATTTCTCACATTTCTTATGACTTCTCAGGGTTTCTCAAGACTTCTCATGATTTTTCAACATTTTTCAAGATTTCCCAGAATTTCTAAAGATTTCTCAACATTTCTCAAAATTTCTTGAGGCTTCCAGGTTTCAAGATTTTGAAACTTCTCAAAATTGTTCCGAGATATGCTCCAGGTTTCTCAAGATTTCTCATAAGTTTCCAGACTTAGAGAGAGAGTCTCAACTCAAGTCCGATTTCTCAAAATTTCTCCGAGACACGCTCGAGATTTTTCAACAATTTTACAAGAATTCCTCGACATTTCCTCAAGATTGTTTAAGATTTCTCCAAATTTCTGAGGGTTTCTCAAGATTTCTCATGCTTTCTCAGAATTTATAAGAATTTCTCAAGGTTTCGAGATCCGAGATGTCTAGATTTCTCAAGATTATTTACAATTTCTCAACATTTCTCAAGATTTATATAAGCTTTCCTCGAGATTTCTAGAGGTTTCTCGAGGTTTTTCAATATTTTTCTGGATTTCTTAAAATTTCCCAAGGTTTCGAGAATTCGTGATTTCCCAAATTTCTCAAGATTTTTCAATATTTCTCAAGAATTCTACGAGCTTCCCTCACGATTTTTAGAGGTCTCTCGAGGTTTCTCAAGATTTCTCAAGATTTCTTAAGACTTCTCAGGGTTTTTCAAGACTTCTCATAATTTTTCAACATTTTTCAAGATTTCTCAGAATTTATAAAGATTTTTCAACATTTCTCAGAATTTCTCAAAATTTCTTGAGGCTTCCAGGTTTCAAGATTTTGAAATTTCTCAAAATTGTTCCGAGATATACTCGAGGTTTCTCAAGATTTCTCATAATTTCTCAAAGTTTCAAGATTTAGAGAGAGAGTCTTTATTCCGATTTCACAAAATTTCTCCGAGACATGCTCGAGATTTCTCAACATTTTTACGAGAATTCTTCGACATTTCCTTAAGATTTTTTTTAATTTCTTTGGGTTTCTCAACATTTTCCAAGTTTTTTCAGAATTTATAAGGATTTCTCAAGATTTCAAGGAGCTTTCCTCCAGATTTCTTGAGATTTCCAGGTTTCAAGATTTCGAGATATCTCAAAATTTCTTCGAGACATGCTCAAAGTTTCTCGAGATTTCTCATAATTTCTCAGTGTTTCCAGACTTAGAGAGAGAGTCGTTATTACGATTTCTCAAAAATTTCCTAGACACTCGAGATATCTCAAGATTTTTACGAGAATTCTTCGACATTTCCTCAAGATTTTTTAAGATTTCTCCACATTTCTTAGCGTTTCTCAAGGTTTCGCAAAATTTCTCTCGCTTTTTTAAAATTTCTCAAAGTTTCTCAAAATTTATAAGGATTTCTCACAGTTTCGAGATTCTAGATTTCTCGTTTTCTCAAGATTTATCAAGATTTTCCAAGTTTTCCCAAAAATTTCTCAAAATATCTTAATTTTTCTCAAGATTTCTCATAATTTTTCAACATTTTTCAAATTTCCCAGAATTTTTAAAGATTTCTAAATATTTCTCAAAATTTCTTGAGGTTTTCAGGTTTCAAGATTTTCAAATTTCTCAAAATTGCTCCGAAGTATGCTCGAAGTTTCTCAAGATTTCTCATGATTTCTCAAAGTTTTCAGATTTAGAGAGAGGGTCTTTATTCCGATTTCTCAAAATTTCACGTTCTAGATTTCTCAACATTTTTACGAGAATTCCTCGACATTGTCCTAAGATTTTTTTAAGATTTTTTCAAATTTCTCTAGGTTTCTCAAGATTTTCCAAGTTTTTTCAGAATCTAAGATGTCTAGATTTCTCAAGATTATTCACTATTTCTCAACATTTCTCAACATTTCTTAATACTTCTCAGGGTTTCTCAAGGTTTCTTGAGGTTTCCAGGTTCCAAGATTTCGAGATTTCTCATGATTTCTCAAAGTTTCCTGATTTAGAGAGAGTCTTTATTAGGATTTCTCAAAATTTTTTCACGACTTTCCAGGATTTTTCAAGTTTTTTCAGAATTTCTCAGGACTTTTGAGAGGGCTTGAGAAATCATTTAAAATCTTGTGTAAACTTGAGAAATCTTGAGCAATACCGACAAATCTTGACAAATTTGAGAAATTTTTAAATCTCCAAACCTTGAGAAATTCTGAGAAATCTAAAAAAATCTAGGAAAATCTCGAGAAACCCGAAGAAATTTGGAGAAATATTGAGAAATCTGGAAAAATCTTGCGGAAATCTCAAGTAAACTTCTTAGAAATCTCCGAGAAATCTGCAGAAATCTCGAAATCTGGAAACTTTGAGAAATCCTAAGAAATCTTTAGAAATCTCAAAAACTTGAAATCTGGAAACCTCTTGAAAAATTCTGACAAATACCCAGAAATCTTGAACCTGAAATGTCTTGAGAAATCTTGAAACATCTTGAGAAATAAACTTTCGAGATTTTTATATTTTTCAAGATTTCCTAAAATTTCTCAAGATTTCTCAACATTTTTCAGTATTTCTCCAGAGTTTTCGAGGTTTCCAAGTTTCGAGATTTCGGGATTTCTCAAATTTTTTCAGATTTCTCAAGATTTCTCAGGATTTCTCAAGTTTCCTTAAAATTTCCATATTTATAAGAGAAAGAGAGAGTCTTTATCGCGATTTCTCAAAACTTGAGAGAATTCCTCGAGATTTCCTCAAGATTTTACCAAATTTCTCAAGATTCCTCAGAATTTCTCAAGATTTCTTTAATGATATAAAAACAGTAAAACTTCAACAAAATTATTGCTGCCAAATTGCAGAAAAAAAAATTACTTGTTAATATCCACATGCTCCCCCATCATCACGTACTCCTCATCCCCCGGACTGCACCACCCCGTCATGAAGCTCAACAGCGTCGGACACGGGTACGCCCAGAACCCCTTCTTCGTCACAATCGACTCTATAAAGTACGGCGTCACCTTGGTATGATCACACGCCAGAGTCTCTGCAACAACCCCAAATTATTCCCGCCCCCAAAACCGCCGCCTCCACTTACTAAAAACAGTATCACTGCCGCACCCCGGCTGGCTCGACCCCCCATTAATGTAAAAATCCGCGTGTCCCGTGGGCCCCCACTGCCCCAGAATCCCGGCCCCCGTGTGCAGCACGTCCACGAAATGGGCGTCCGTGTAGTCCAGGTCGCGCGACCGGTTCTGACCCATGTAGAAGACGATGGTGGGGTCCAGGCCTGCGAAGAAGTACCATGAAAGTGAAAGCGCGTTTTGCGCTTCGCCCATTACCTGTAATGCGACCCAGTTTGCCGTGCTCGACGGGGTCGAGGTAGTTGGCCACGAGACCAGAAATGTGGGCGCCGACGCTGTAGCCAATGAGGTGCAAATCGTCGGCGCGGACGCCGCGGGGGTGGTGGGTGAGGTAGTTGACCAGCTGGGCGATGCACTTGGCGCAGAAGCGGGGCGCCCATTCCATTTGCTGTAAGGGCGAGAATCGGGTAAAATCGGAATGGTCAAGGGGTCGAGTGAGTACATCGATTAAAGTGAGACAACATTAAGTGGTGTCATTATAAATTATTATGAGCCACATTTTTAATCATGTGATAGCGAATACTTTCTCTAATTTCTCAGAAACATTTAATCAGGGTTTACCTTAAGACATGGTTCCCTCACAAGTGTCCCATAATCCACAATAATAATGTTGTAGTTCCCCCTATGAAAATAGGCGTCCCTCATGTCTGTGCTGGGCGCCAGGTTCCTCCCTCCTCCAAACCCATGAACCACGATTTTCGTGGGGTACATTCGGTTGAACCTTGTGTTATACAGCGACTCTTCTCTGGTGGTGTCCAGGAGTTCGCCAGTCTTCTGGGTTCTCCTACAAAGACAATTTATGCAAAAATTCGTGCAACGTTTCACTCTCAATGCTAGTGTTGCGCATTGGTGCAGAATGGCAATAGTTGATTAAAAGCAGTAATTTTGACTTAATAGGACATTAAAATGCCGGCTTTTGCGTTAGTCATCGGATGTCTCGTGGTTTTGAGTGTATGATTAGGCACACTTTCGTTTATTAGAAAATCGGCTTGACGCAACGCCGACTCACCGGGTGTATAGGTAGAATTGGATTTGCCTGTGGGGGCATCGGTAAGGTCGGGGGATGCAGGAGGAGGTGTTGAAGAGGTCCTGGACGGTCTCGGGCTTTTTCTTTTCTTTGGTTGTTTGGCTGTTGATACCTGGAATGAAACAAATTAGTAAACAGTTAAGTTAAAAAACTATGTTTCTTATTAATGATTTTCATTCATAAATAGCGTGTTTTCCATATGAACTTGATACTATGTTTACTTTCTTTGCAATGTACTTTTTAATTCAAACAAGTTTTTTTTATGTTAAATTTTGTAATACTTTGAAATCTGGTTTTTTGAGGACGGGCCAGACATCAATATACTCCTAATGATACTCTCACTTTTGATGGTTATGTTTATCTACACTTTCTTTAATAGCCCGTGAGAGTTGATGAGTTGAGACACTAATGCGGTGTTTAATTTTCGCCTTACTTTTCTTCTGTTTTGCTTTCTTTTCATTTCTAAGTTATTATCACACTTTTTTTCCTGCGATTTCTTAACACGAAATTTTCAAAACTTTGAATTTTGAATTTTCGAGCTTTCTACTTGAATGGAAAAAAGATTGTATAATGTAAAATTAGCGCGAAAATGACACTTGCATGTTTGGGAAGGTAATTAATATGTCACGTAATAGGGTATTACAGCGGTGTTAATTGGCTTAAATAGGGCGGTAGGATTGTATTTAATTTATAATAAAATTATGGTTACGTATTTGATGGACTCCAGAATAACCAGACGAACAATTAGTTGATGTACAGTCGAACCAAATCTAGGTTTTTCGAAAAATTGTAAAATTTGATTTTGTGAAATTTTCTCTTTTGTGATAAACCCTATAATTTAACAAATCGAAATCTAAATTCGAAATCTTCAGCAAAATTTTAAGATTTTTTTGGAATTTCTAGACTCTTAGACCATCCAGATTCTTCGGAATTTCTGGACCCTTTGGAATATTTGTAATCCTAGATATCTTTATAATTTTCAGAATCTTCGACATCTTCAGTCTTCAAAATTTTCGGAATCTTTAATTTTCGAAATCTTCAAAGTCTTCAGAATTTTCCGAATTGTTAGCCTTCGAAGATTTTAAAATATTTAGAATCTTTAGAATTTATGGAATCCCAAGAGCCGAGGAAATCTCTGAAGTCTCTGGAAACTTTGAAATCATTGGAATCTTTATAAACTTTAAAATCTTCAAAATCTTCACCAAAGTTTTCGGAAATTTGAGAATCTTTAGACTGCAAAATATTCAGAATCTTTATAATTTTTAGAATATCTGGAATTTCTGAATTCTGTATTATGAAACTTTTAGGATATTTGTAGGTATCTTTATAATCTTCAGAACCTTCGACATCTTCAAAGTTTTCAAAACTTTCGGAATGTTCTTTCTTCGAAATCCTCAGTCTTCTGAATTTTCGAAATTTTTAATCTTAGAAAATTTTAGAATCTTTGAAATTTCTGAAATATCTGGAATCTTTGAAATATTTAGAATCTTATAATCTTTAGCATCATTGAAACTCCAAATTCATCAGAATTTTTAGAATTTCTAAAATTTCAAGAATCTGGAAAACCCGAATATTCTGAATCTTCAGAATTTTTAGAATTTTTGAAATCTTAGGGGTCTAGGAACGTCGGAAATTTTTGAAACTTCCGAAGTCTTTGGAATATTTAGAATATTTGGAATCTTTGTAATTTTTACAATCTTCGAAATCTCCAATGTTTCCAGAATTTTTGGATTTTTCAGTCTTCGAAACGTTAAGATAAGGCTGATTTTAGTAAATGACTGAACAATATTAAGAGTGATCACTGGAATGAAGAGGGGGTGGGTGGGCGGAGCTATTACTTGCTTATAAAAGACTTCGTCCGAAAAAGTGAAATTTAACCCCGCCCACCCACCCTTTCTCTTATTTTTTTTTTCTGAAATAAGGAATAAATCATATTTTTTAACAGCCTACATTTTATTAGTTCCCTTTTCTTTAAAGTCATTGAACTTCAAAACTCGGAAATCTTCGAAATCTTCAACTTCTGCAAAGATTTCCAGGTTTCGAAATTTCGAGATTTACTTATTAAAATTTCTCCGAGACATGATGAGATTTTTCAAGATTTTTACGAGAATTTCTCAGGATTTCTTCAAGATTCCTCAAGATATCTCAAAATTTTTCAAAAATATTTCAAGATTCCTCAAGAATTCTACGAAATCCTTGAGATTTATCGAAGTTCCTCGAGACTTCCAAATTTCGAGATTTCCAGATTTCAAGATTTCAAGATTATAATATTTATCAAAATTTCTCAAAACTTCCAGGATTTCTCAAGATTTCTTAGGATTTCTAAGGATTTTTCAAAATTTCCAAAAATTTCTCAAGATTTCTCAACATTTTTCAGGGTTTCTAAAGATTTATCGAGGTTCCTAGGTTTCGAGATTTCTTAAAATTTCTCCGAGACATGGTCCAGATTTCTCAAGATTTTTACGAGAATTCCTCAGGATCTCGTCAAGATTTCTCAAGATTTCTCAAAATTTTTCAAAATATTTTAAGATTCCTAAGAATTCTTTGAAATTTCCTTGAGACTTGTCAAAGACTCTCAAGACCTCGAAATTTAGAGATTTCCAGATTTCGAGATTTCAAGATTATAAGATTTCTCAAAACTTCCAGATTTTTTCAAGATTTCTTAGGATATCTCAAAACTACTCAAAAATTCCCAGAATTTCTCAACATTTCTCGAGTTTCCAGGTTTCGAGATTTTTCAAGATTTCTTAAAATTTCTCAGGGTTTCGAGGTTTCGAGATTTCTTAAAATTTCTCCGAAACAAGATCGAGATTTCTCAAGATTTTTACGAAAATTCCTCTGGATTTCTTCAAGGTCTCAAGATTTCCTAAAATTTTTCAAAAATATTTCAAGATTTCTCAAAAGTTCTACGAGATTTGCTTGAGATTTGTCGAAGTTTCTACAAACTTTGCAATTTCGAGATTTCCAGAATTCAGGATTATAAGATTTTTCAAGATTTCTCAAGACTTCCAGGATTTCTCAAGATTTCTTAGGATTTTCAAGATTTTTCAAGATTTTCCGAAATTTCTCAAGATTTCTCAACATTTTTCAGGGTTCCTAAAGATTTTTCGAGGTTTCTAGGTTTCGAGATTTCGAGATTTCTTAAAATTTCTCCGAAACATGATCGAGATTTCTCAAGATTTTTACGAGAATTCCTTAGAGTTTCCTCAAGATTTCTCAAGATTTCTCAAAATTTTTCAAAATATTTCAAGATTCCTCAAGCATTCTTTGAAATTTCCTTGACACTTGTCGTAGTCCCTCGAGATATCAAAATTTAGAGATTTCCAGATTTCGAGATTTCAAGATTATAATATTTCTCAAGATTTCCAGAATTTTTCAAGATTTCTTAGGATTTTTCAACATTTTTCAAAATTTCCCAGAATTTCTCAACATTTCTCGAGTTTTCAGGTTTCGAGATTTCGTGATTTCTCAAGATTTTTTAGAATTTCTCAGGGTTTCGAGATTTCGAAATTTCTTAAAATTTCTCCGAAACATGATCGAGATTTCTCAAGATTTTTACGAGAATTCCTCAGGATTTCGTCAAGATTTCTCAAGATTTCTTAAAATTTTTCAAAATATTGCAAGATTCCTTGAAATTTCTTTGAGATTTGTCGAAGTCTCTCAAGACCACGAAATTTACAGATTTCCAGATTTCGAGATTTCAAGATTATAAGATTTCTCAAGACTTCCAGATTTTCTCAAGATTTCTTAGGATTTTTCAAGATTTCTCAACATTTCCCAGAATTTCTAAATATTTCTCGGGTTTCCAGGTTTCAAGATTTCAAGATTTCTCAAGATTTCTTAGAATTTCTTAGTGTTTCGAGGTTTCGAGATTTCTTAAAATTTCTCCGAGACTAGATCGAGATTTCTCAAGATTTTTACGAGAATTCCTCAGAATTTTTACGAGATTTCCTCAGGATTTCCACAAGATTTCTCAAGATTTCTCAAAATTTTTCAAAATATTTCAAGAGTCCTAAAGAATTCTACGAAATTTCCTTGAGATTTATCGAAGTTCCTCGAGACTTCCAAATTTCGAGATTTCCAGATTTCTAGATTTCAAGATTATAACATTTCTCAAAATTTCTCAAGACTTTCAGGATTTCTCAAGATTTCTTAGGATTTTTAAAGATTTTTCAAGATTTCCAGAAACTTCTCAAAATTTCTCAACATTTTTCAGAGTTTCTTAAGATTTTTCACGGTTCCTAGGTTTCGAGATTTCTCAAAATTTCTCCGAGACATCATCGAGATTTCTCAAGAGTTTTACGAAAATTCCTCAGGATCTCGTCAAGATTTCTCAAAATATTTCAAAATATTTCAAGATTCCTCAAAAATTCTTTGAAATTTCCTTAGAGATTTCTAGAATTCGAGATTTCACGATTATAAGATTTCTCAAAATTTCTCAAGACTTCCAGGATTTCTCAAGATTTCTTAGGATGTTTCAAGATTTTTCAAGATTTACCGAAATTTCTCAAGATTTCTCTACATTTTTCAGGGTTTCTAAAGATTTTTCGAGGTATCTAGGTTTCGAAATTTCGAGATTTCTTAAAATTTCTCCTAGATATGATCGAATTTCTGAAGATTTTTACGAGAATTTCAAAATATTTCAAGATTCCTCAAGAATTTTACGAAATTTCCTTGAGACTTGTTGAAGTCTCTCGAGACTTCGAAATTTAGAGATTTCCATATTTCAAGATTTGAAGATTATAAGATTTCTCAAAATTTCTCAAGATTTCTCAAGTTTTCATAGAATTTCTCAGGATTTGTCAATGTTTCGATATTCGAAATTTCTAGATTTTTCAAGATTTTTCAAGATTTCCAAACATTTCTCAAGATTTCTCAAGATCACTCACGGACGGGTAGGCGGGGCTAGTTTTTCTTAAGATAAGTCTGATTTTGGTAAGTGACTGAACTTTAAATCTTGAAAATCTTCGGAATCTTCATTTCCTGCAAAATTTGTAGAATCTTCATTCTTCGGAATATACATAATACTTATCCCTAAGGGCTTATGAAATCTCAAGTGTTTTTTTGGAATATCTAAATTTTTTGGAATTTCTTATACCTCTGGAAGCTTTGGAATCTCTGAAATTTTTGAAATCTTTATAATCTTCACAGTTTCTTGGAATCTTCATTCTTTCAAACATTCAGAATTTACAGAGTTTTTAGAATTTTTAATACCATTGGAACCTTTAGAATATTTGAAATCTTTATATTCTTCAGAATCTTCGGAATTTGTAATGTTTTCACAATTTTGGAACTTTCAGTGTTGCAAACATTCAGAATCTTCAGAATCTCTGGAATTTTGGAATTTTTGTATTTTTCAGTTTCCTAAATATTCACAAACTTCATAATCTCCAAAGTATTCGGAATCTTCATCTTCTGCAAAATTTTTAGAATGTGCAGAATCCTTAGAGATTCTGGAATCTCAAGAGTTTTGGAATATTTGAAATTTCTGGAATTTCTGAATTCCCCTTTGTAACCTTTATAATCTTCAGAGGTTTTGGATTGTCCATTCTTGCAAATATTCAAAATCTTCAAATTTTTTTGAAGTTTTGAAATCTCAAACATCTAGGAATATCCAGAATTTTTGGAACCTTTAGAAAATTTTTGGAAAATTTATAATCTTCAGAATCTCCGGAATCTGCAGTCTTCAGGATTTTGGAATTTTCAGTGTTGTAAAGATTCAGAATCTTTAGAATCTTTGCTTCTCGAATTTCAAGAGTCTCGGAATATCGGAAATTATTGAAATCTCTTGAATCTTTGGATTTTTTAGTTTTAGAAGTATTCAGAATCCGGAAAAATTCGGAAAATTTGTAGTTTCTGGAATCTTTATAATCTTCTGAATCGCCACAATTTAAAAAATTTCTGAAATTTTGAGAATTTCGTCTATCCGGAGTCCTTTTCGAAATTCTGGAACCTTTGGAAATTTGAAGCCTTTTCAATCTTTACAATTTTCGGAATGTAGAGACCTTTAATATCTCCAGAATTTTTGGAATCTTCATTTTTCGAAATACTCAGAATTTTCAGAAATTTTAGAATTTCTGAAATCTCAAGAATCTAGGAAAATACGGAATCTTTGGAGTTTCTGGAAACTTTATAATCTTCAAAATCTACGGAAACTTCATCTTCTGCAGAATTTTTTAAATTTTCAATCTTCGCAATATTCAGAATCCTGAATTTCTGGAATCTCAGGAGTTTTGAAATATCTGAAATTTTTAGAATTTCTGAAATTTCTGAAATCTCTGGAATTTTTGGAAGCTTTGTAATCGAAATCTGCAATGTCTTCTGAATTTTTGGATTTTTACCTTTCGGAACATTCGGAATCTTCAGAATTTTTAGAATATCTTAAATCTCAAGAATCTTTGGAGTTTCTGGAATCCTTGTAATCTTCATAATCTTCAGAATTTTGGAATCTTCAATCTTCGAAATATTCAGAATTTTTAGAATCGCCACAATTTTTAAAAATCTCTGGAATTTCTAGTGTTTTGTCTATCCGGAATTTTTTTGGGATTTCTGCAACCTTTGGAATATTTGGAAATATTCGAAATATTTGAAATCTTTAGGAATTATGGAATCCGGAATATTCATAAATTAGATCTTTCAAACTTTTTGGAAGACTTCATAAACGTAAAAACGTATCTTTGTATAGCGTCCTAGTTCGATCCTGAACTATGACAATGCAGTTTCTGCTGCGGTAAGAAAGTTCGACAATAACGCACGTAGAAAGTTCTCGATAACCAAACTTAGGGTCATTTTGTTATAATTTCACGTGCTCTTTCCTCAGGAAAACAGTCTTATCGGTATTATATAATATCCATTTGAATAATGTATATTAGACAGACATATAAACATTATTATGTATTTAATATTAAGTTGAGTATTTCACTTCCAACATTCTTCACGTTCATTAATATGAATTTATGTCCTACATTTTATAAAGCAGACAATCACTACGCATTCGTCGGAAACTCAGATTACATTCCAATTAGTGTTAAAATCCGAAGACTCAAACATTGCAACACCCATTTCGAGTGGAAAATCGTGTTTGGACAAACGAAAACTTTTACCAGTAAACAAATATCGTGAAAAACAAATTAGAAACTAACATGAATTGTTCAGTTTTACACAAAAGCGACTATTTTCTTGTATGGAAATAATCACACGCCATGAACATTATGTTTTAATTCCTGTGAAAACAAACCAATTTATTGCACTACCTCATTACATTTAATTACCGGCAAACAAAGACTTTTCCCACTTGTAATTCCGGAAAACACGCTTACAAAAATGATAAAAAAAATTGCAATTGTCGCTTTCTATTATATCTTCGATTAAGACCATTACGTGTGTAAAAATTGTGCCGCAAAGATGCCATTACAGTACGGAAGACAATTACGTAAGTACGCTTTATTATCACAGATAAGTGTAACGTAACGTGTTATTAACACTCACGTTTTTTCTCGATTCGCTGGAAATCCACAAGTGAAACCGGTCGTTTTCAGGTGACGAATTTAGAAACCGAAATGTAAAAACACCAGATGAAATAGTGTGTCATGTGTAGTGAAAGTAAAGAAGATCCAATAACGCATAAATTAATATCGCTATTGTTGTGGAATTTTCCGTCGTTTCTAAAAACCCTGACATTCAATTTTCCGAGAAAAGAAAAAATCTTGCATAAATTATCCGTAACTACGCTCTAAAAAATTCCGCACACGATTCCAGTTAATTAATTCTTGTCGCAAGCAACCTTAAACCCTAACCTTCACCTCTCACGAATTATTTCTCAATTTCGAGCTACTTACCGCTTATGGCGAAGAAGAGCAGGTAGTAGCACAGCACGATATACACCACACTTTCTCGTTTCACTGCCACAGAAACCGGCGATTGCCTTTGCCCAGTCATCTTAACATTGGCCGTGTTTGTGTTGTTGACAGTGATTTTAGCCGCAGCAGTGAAAGTCGATCCAGCGGCTTCGATGGTCAATTGCCGTATGCATCGCGATACGAAGAGTACCTTCACTTTTACGCCGGCTGCGTGACTCTCACTGGATATGGGAATTTTTGATAACGTGTTGGGCGTTGCGCAACGAGGGTGGAAAGGATGTTGGGCTTCCGGATCTTTCATGGGCAAATAGGTTTTTAATGGGCGAAGATGGTGTGGACATGGCGGAAGTTGGGCAATTGGGCTGGTCGTTAGCGGAATGGTGACAGGGGGGCTAGGAACTGTTGTTTGACGTAATTTATTGGTAGAGGTTGGTAATGGAGAAGCATTTGGGTATGACGGTTTCGTTTGTGTTGTAAGGGAAATTTGTGGTGGTGTTATGTGGATGTTATATAAAGCGTTGTTGGAGTTAAGTGGGTGATTTTTGGCTGGGTTTGGACTGTTGTGTAACGACAAACGCTAATTTATTAATGATAATGGGTTGTATTGTTATGTAAGGGTCATTTCTGGTATGTCGGACGCGGAACCTTATCAACATTATGCAAAATACAACCACAAATTGTTTCAAAAACATAGCACATATTGTTCATGCCCTTCCATTATGTTTTTTGTTATTTTAATTTTAATGTTACATTGTAAATTTTTTTCGTGGTAAAGTTTTAACAGCGTAATTTTTTCATGTATGTCTTATTTTTTTCATAAAGATTTCATAAAAATTTCATTTAAATTAATTATCCCGGCGCATCCACCAATTTTAATCAAAAATAATCCTCACTAAATCGAGCTGGATTTCCGACCCTTCTTAAAAATTTCAGAATTTCAAGATTTCCCAAAATTTCTCAGTTTCTCAGGATTTCTCTGATTTGTTAAGATTTGTCAAGACTTCTTTGAGATTTCTCCGAAATTTCCTCAAGATTTCTTAATATTTCTCAAGACAACTAAAGATTATTCAAGATTTCTCAAAATTTCTCAAGGTTTCGAGGTTTCGAGATTACAAGGTTTCTCAAGATGTCTCAAGACTTCTTAAATTTTCTCAATATTTTTTTGAAGATTCTTCAGGATTTTTCTAGATTACTCAAAATTTCTTATGATTTCTCAGGATTTCTTAGATTTTCTAAAGATTTGCAAAGATTTCTCACGACTTCTTTGAGATTTCTCCGAAATTCTCGCAATATTTCTTAAGATAACTCAAGATTTTTCAAAATTTCTCAGGATTTCTGAACATTTCGAGGTTTGAAGATTTGAAAATTTCTCATAATTTCTCGAGATTCCTCAAAATTTCTCAAAATTTCTCAGGGTTTCTCAGATTTTCTCAAGCTTTGTCAAGATTTTTCACTACTTCTTTGAGATTTCTCCGAAATTGCCTCAATATTTTTTAAGATAACTAGAGATTTTTCAAAATCTCTCAGAATTTCAAGACTTCAAGATTCGAAAATTTCCCAAGTTTTCTCAAGATGTGTCAAGTTTTCTTCAGATTTATAAAAATTTCTCAAGATTTCTCGAGGTTTTCCATTGTTCTAGATTTCAAGATTCCAAGGTTTCTCAAGATTTCTCAAGACTTCTTACATTTTCTCAATATTTTTTTGAAGATTCTTCACGATTTTTCAAGATTACTCAAAATCTCTCATGATTTCTCAAGATTCGTCAAAATTTCTCAAAATTTCTCAGGATTTCTCAGATGGTCTCAAGATTTGTCAAGATTTCTTACGACTTCTTTGAGATTTCTCCGAAATCCCTCAATGTTTCTTAAGATAACTCAAGATTTTTCAAAATTTTTCAGGATTTCTCAACATTTCGAGGTTTTAATATTTCAAAAATTTCTCAGAATTTCAAGACTTCAAAATTCGAAAATTTCCCAAGTTTTCTCAAAATGTGTCGAGTTTTCTCAAGATTTATAAAAATTTCTAAAGATATCTCAAGATTTCTCGAGGTTTCTCCACTGTTCTAGATTTCAAGATTTCCAGGTTTCTCAAGATTTCTCAAGGCTTCTTACATTTTCTCAATATTTTTTTGAAGATTCTTCAGGATTTTTCAAGATTTTTCAAAATTTCTCAGGATTTCTCAACATTTCGAAGTTTTAAGATTTCAAAATTTTTCAGAATTTCAAGAGTTCAAGATTCGAAAATTTCCCAAGTTTTCTCAAGATATGTCAAGTTTTGGTAAGATTTATGAAAATTTCTCAAGATTTCTCGAGGTTTTTCCATTGTTCTAAATTTCAAAATTTTAAGGTTTCTCTAGATTTCTCAAGACTTCTTACATTTTCTCAATTGTTTTGTTTAAGATTCTTCAGGATTTTTCAAGATTACTCAAAATCTCTCATGATTTCTCAAGATTCCCCAAAATTTCTCAAAATTTCTCAGGATTTCTCAGATTGTCTCAAGATTTGCCAAGATTTCTCACGACTTTTTTGAGGTTTCTCCTAAATTCCCTCAATATTTCTAAAGATAACTCAAGATTTTTCAAAATTTCTCAAGATTTCTGAACATTTCAAGGTTTTAAGATTACAAAATTTCACAGAATTTCAAGATTTCAAGATTCGAAAATTTCTTAAGTTTTCTCAAGATGTCAGGTTTTCGTAAGATTTATAAAAATTTCTCAAGATTTCTCGAGATTTTTCCACTGTTCTAGATTTCAAGATTCCAAGGTTTCTCAAGATTTCTTAAGACTTCTAAATTTTCTCAATATGTTTTTGAAGATTCTTCATGATTTTTTAAGATTCTTCAAAATTTCTCAGGATTTCTCAGATTTTCTCAAGATTTGTCAAGATTTCTGACGACTTCTTTGAGATTTCTCCGAAATTCCCTCAATTTTTCTTAAGATAACTCAAAATTTTTCAAAATTTCTCAGGATTTCTCAACATTTCGAGGTTTTAAGATTTCAAAATTTCTCAGAATTTCAAGACTTGAAGATTTGAAAAATTACCAAGTTTTCTCCAGATGTGTCAAGTTTTCTCAAGATTTATAAAAATTTCTCAAGATTTCTCGAGGTTTTTTCACTGTTCTAGATTTCAAGATTCCAAGGTTTCTCAAGATTTCTCAAGACTTCCTAAATTTTCTCAATATTTTTTTGAAGATTCTTCAGGATTTTTCAAGATTACTCAAATTTTCTCATGATTTCTCAAGGTTTCTCAAAATTTCTCAAAATTTCTCCGAATTCCTCAGATTTTCTTAAGATTTGTCAAGATTTCTCTATGCGATTTCTCCGAAATTCCCTCAATATCTCTTAAGATAATTTAAGATTTTTCAAAATTTCTCAGGATTTCTCAACATTTCGAGGTTTTAAGATTTCAAAATTTCTCACAATTTCAAGACTTCAAGATTCGAAATTTTCCCAAGTTTTCTCAAAATGTGTCAAGTTTTCGTAAGATTTATAAAAATTTCTCAAGATTTCTCAAGATTTCTCGAGGTTTTTTCAATGTTCTAGATTTCAAGATTCCAAGGTTTCTCGAGATTTCTCAAGACTTCTTAAATTTTCTCAATATTTTTTTGAAGATTATTCAGGATTTTTCAAGATTACTCAAACTTTTTTATGATTTCTCAAGATTCCTCAAAATTTCTCAGAATTTCTCAGATATTCTCAAGATTTGTCAAGATTTCTCGCGACTTCTTTGAGATTTCTCCGAAATTCCCTCAATATTTCTTAAGATAAGTCAAGATTTTTCAAAATTTCTCAGGATTTCTCAACATTTCGAGGTTTTAAGATTTCAAAATTTCTCACAATTTCAAGACTTCAAGATTCGAAATTTTCCCAAGTTTTCTCAAAATGTGTCAAGTTTTCGTAAGATTTATAAAAATTTCTCAAGATTTCTCAAGATTTCTCGAGGTTTTTCCACTGTTCTAGACTTCAAGATTTCCAGGTTTCTCAGGATTTCTCAAGACTTCTTACATTTTCTCAATATTTTTTTGGAGATTCTTCAGAATTTTTCAAGATTTTTCAAAATTTCTCAGGATTTCTCAACATTTCGAAGTTTTAAGATTTCAAAATTTTTCAGAATTTCAAGAGTTCAAGATTCGAAAATTTCCCAAGTTTTCTCAAGATATGTCAATTTTCGTGAGATTTATAAAAATTTCTCAAGATTTCTCGAGGTTTTTCCACTGTTCTAAATTTCAAAATTTTAAGGTTTCTCTAGATTTCTCAAGACTTCTTACATTTTCTCAATTGTTTTGTTTAAGATTCTTCAGGATTTTTCAAGATTACTCAAAATCTCTCATGATTTCCCAAGATTCCCCAAAATTTCTCAAAATTTCTCAGGATTTCTCAGATTGTCTCAAGATTTGCCAAGATTTCTCACGACTTTTTTGAGGTTTTTCCTAAATTCCCTCAATATTTCTAAAGATAACTCAAGATTTTTCAAAATTTCTCAAGATTTCTGAACATTTCAAGGTTTTAAGATTACAAAATTTCACAGAATTTCAAGATTTCAAGATTCGAAAATTTCTCAAGTTTTCTCAAGATGTGTCAGGTTTTCGTAAGATTTATAAAAATTTCTCAAGATTTCTCGAGATTTTTCCACTGTTCTAGATTTCAAGATTCCAAGGTTTCTCAAGATTTCTTAAGACTTCTAAATTTTCTCAATATTTTTTTGAAGATTCTTCATGATTTTTTAAGATTCCTCAAAATTTCTCAGGATTTCTCAGATTTTCTCAAGATTTGTCAAGATTTCTGACGACTTCTTTGAGATTTCTCCGAAATTCCCTCAATTTTTCTTAAGATAACTCAAAATTTTTCAAAATTTCTCAGGATTTATCAACATTTCGAGGTTTTAAGATTTCAAAATTTCTCAGAATTTCAAGACTTGAAGATTCGAAAATTTCCCAAGTTTTCTCCAGATGTGTCAAGTTTTCTCAAGATTTATAAAAATTTCTCAAGATTTCTCGAGGGTTTTCCACTGTTCTAGATTTCAAGATTCCAAGGCTTCTCAAGATTTCTCAAGACTTCCTAAATTTTCTCAATATTTTTTTGAAGATTCTTCAGGATTTTTCAAGATTACTCAAATTTTCTCATGATTTCTCAAGGTTTCTCAAAATTTCTCAAAATTTCTCAGAATTCCTCAGATTTTCTTAAGATTTGTCAAGATTTCTCACGACTTCTATGCGATTTCTCCGAAATTCCCTCAATATCTCTTAAGATAATTTAAGATTTTTCAAAATTTCTCAGGATTTCTCAACATTTCGAGGTTTTAAGATTTCAAAATTTCTCACAATTTCAAGATTTCAAAATTCGAAATTTTTCCAAGTTTTCTCAAAATGTGTCAAGTTTTCGTAAGATTTATAAAAATTTCTCAAGATTTCTCAAGATTTCTCGAGGTTTTTTCAATGTTCTAGATTTCAAGATTCCAAGGTTTCTCGAGATTTCTCAAGACTTCTTAAATTTTCTCAATATTTTTTTGAAGATTATACAGAATTTTTCAAGATTATTCAAGATTTCTCATGATTTCTCAAGATTCTTCAAAATTTCTCAGGATTTCTCAGATTTTCTCAAGATTTGTCAAGATTTCTCACGACTTCTTTGAGATTTCTCCGAAATTCTTCAATATTTGTTAAGATAACTCAAGATTTTTCAAAATTTCTCAGGATTTCTCAACATTTCGAAGTTTTAAGATTTCAAAATTTTTCGGAATTTCAAGAGTTCAAGATTCGTAAATTTCCCAAGTTTTCTCAAGATATGTCAAGTTTTCGTAATATTTATAAAAATTTCTCAAGATTTCTCGAGGTTTTTCCACTGTTCTAAATTTCAAAATTTTAAGGTTTCTCTAGATTTCTCAAGACTTCTTACATTTTCTCAATCGTTTTTTTTTTAAGATTCTTCAGGATTTTTCAAGATTACTCAAAATCTCTCATGATTTCTCAAGATGTGTCAAGTTTTCTTAAGGTTTATAAAAATTTCTCAGGATTTTTCAAAATTTATAAAAGTTTCTCGAAAGTGAAGTTTTTCAAGATTTCTCTAAATCTTTCAAGATTTTTCTAAATCTTTGAAGATTTCTCTAAATTTTTCGAGATTACTCAACATTTCTCAAGAATTCTTAAGATTTCTCGAGGTTTCTCCACGGTTTTCAACGCTTTTCAAGGTTTCTCAACATTTCTCAAGATTTCTTAGAATTTCTCAAGATTTCTCGACATTTCTAAAAGTTTCTAGATTTCAACATATCTGAAGATTTCTCAGGATTTCTAAAAATTTATCAAGATTTCTCAACATTTCGTTAGTGAGATCCAAACTCGAGTACTGTAGTTGTATATGGAGTCCTGCACAACAGATTTTTGTTAGTCTTCTTGAGAATGTCTTACGTAAATATTGTAAATTTTTATTTTTTAAAATGTTTGGGCGTTATCCGGAATTACACTGTAATCAAAAAGTTCTCCTGAATATTCTGAATGAAAAATCTCTATTGAGTAGAAGAAACGTAGCCAGCATAACATTTCTTCAAAAAATTCTTAATGGTTCAATTAATAGTCATGAAATACTTAGTCAAATAAAAATAGTTGTGCCGAGGATAGTGAGCAGAGTGCCACTTACGTTTTTTTATTGTATTCCTAATACATTTCACCATTATAATTCTCCTCTGTTAAATTGCCTTAGATTGTACAATTGCATATGTAATATATTTGATATTTTTAACGACAGTTTATTGAATCGTAGGTTAAGGAATAAAATTATAGACTATTATACTCAGTTCTAAATATTTAATTTTTGTAACATGTATTATAAAGCGCTAGTTAGTGTATATATATACATATATATATTTGTTAAATTGTAAGATTTTTGTATCTATATGGACACCTGTCCGTTGGAAAATAAACCCATCATTATTATTATTATTAACATTTCTAAGTATTTTCAAGAAATCCTGAGATTTCGTTTTATTTTTCAAGGCTTCTAGATTTTGAGATTTTTCAATGTTTGTCAAAATTTCACAACATGAAATTTTTTAGAATTTCTCAAGATTTCTCACGATTTCTAAAGGTTTCTCAAAATTTTCTCAAGAATTCTCAGAATTTCTCAAAATTTCTCAAAGTTCCGAGGTTTCGAGATTACAAGATTTTTAATAACGATAATAATAATAATAAGTTTATTGTTTCCTTAATTACAGGATTTTGAAAAATCCAAAAAATCTGGAAATTTTGGAAAATTCAGAAAATCTAGAAATTTTAAAAATCCAAAGAAACTGAAAAATGTGAAAATACCAAAAAAACCGGAAATTTTGAAAAATTCAAAAAATCTGGAAATTTTGGAAAATTCAAAAAATCTGGAAATTTTGAAAAATTCAAAAAATCTGGAAAATTTGAAAAATCAAAAAATCTGGAAATTTTGAAAAAACCAAAAAATCTGGAAATTTTGAAAAATTAAAAAAATCTGGAAAATCTGAAAAATCCAAAAAATCTGAAAATTTTGAAAAATCCAAAAATCTGAAAATTTTAAAAATTTGGAAAATCCAAAAATCCGAAAATCCAAGAATTCAAAAATTCAAAAATCCAAAAATCTAAAAATCCACAAATCTATAACATCTAAACCGATTCTCGATAAATCGAAATCTCAAAAAATGTTAAAATTCGGAAAGTTGAAAAATTAAAGTATAGACAACTGAAAACTCGAGAAATCGAAAAATATAGAATTTTGAAAATAAAAAATTAAAATATCGAAAACTTGAAAAATTGATAAATCGAAATATAAAACACTCGAAAATTTTAAAATTCTAAAATTTAAAAAACCGAAAACTGAAAAAAATAAAAAATCGAAAAATCCAATAGTCGAAATCGAAAACGAAATATTGAAACAAAAATTGAGAAATAAAAAAATTGGAAAATTGAGAAATCGAAGAACCAAAAAAACAACGTCGAAAATTCGAAGAATTGAAAAACTGAAAAATCGAAATTTGGAGAAGTCGAGAAGTGGGAAAATCAAAAATAGATTAGAATCTGAAAATTTAGCAACGTAAAAACGTGAAAAATTAAAAAATCGGGAAATTGAAAAATCAGCAAATCCAAACATCAAAAAACTAAAAAAAAAATCGAAATCCCAAAAACTAAAAATTGAAAAACTGAAAAATCGACAAATCGAGAAACCGAAATTCCAGAATTTAAAAAACCAAAAAAATTGAAACATATTCATTTTTTTTTGTAAGGATTTTTCAGGAAATCCTGAGATTTCTCATTATTTTTAAGGTTTCGAGATTTTGATATTCTCAAATAATCTCAAAATTTCACAAGGTTTATCAAGACCTCTCAAAATTACAAAAATTTCTCCACATTTCTCAAGATTTTTCCGAGATTTTCTCGAAATTTCCTTAAGATTTCTTGAGATTTCATGAGGTGTTTCAATATTTCTCGAGTTTTGTCGAGAGTTCGAAATTTGGAGATTTATGGATTTCGAGATTTCAAGAATCCAATGTTCTTCCGGATTTCTCAAAATTTTCAAGATTTCTAAGAACGTCTCGAAATTTTTCAGGAGATCTCAGGATTTGTCAGGATTTTTCAAGGTTTCTCAAGATTCTTCAATATTTCTCCCAGCATTTCTCAGGATTTCTCCCAGACTTGCACTAGGTTTCACGAGAATACTTAATATTTCTCAAGATTTCTGAAGATTTCCCAAAATTTCTTAAAGCTCGAGCTTTTCTTCGAAATTTTCTCGAGGTGTCATTTCCATGTTTTCAATTTTCATTTCTTAACCTCCTCGATTAAAAAATGTTTAAAATGTCAGTTTTTCTCTTTATTGAAAAGCGAAAAATTAAGAACTGAAAAATTTTAAATCGAAAAATTCTGAAATTACATAATTTGAAAAATGAAAATTTTAAATTTGAAAAATATTATAAATATTTTATTTATAGTATACAATTGCTGCTGTTAATTGTTATGTTAGTCTGTTAATGAAATTTGTTAATAAAATAGAAAACACTACTCGCTTGAAAGTCATGTTGGTTTTCGTTTTTTCGAATTTATAGACAAACCATAAATTTTGCTATTGTTTTACACAGTGATGATTGACAGCACACGGTTAGTGAAATCGCATCTGGAATTGTTAAGATGTCATTGTTTGAAATAAATTACCGTGGAATTTAATTTTCTTGGTGCGTGGCGAGTCCCATCTTCACTTATTATGAAAAGAAATCAATCTGTTGTGTACAGTATAGGCAACATTATATACACCTTAACGTATTACTGAGATAAATAAATAAATAAATCTTGTGTATAAGTGATTATTGTTTTTTGTTATTCGTACAATAATAAACTATTTTTGAACAAAAATATTTCTTTTTAAAAAACATCATATATTAACGTTAACAGATTCCTGCATTTTATTTCACAAGTTACCCAAACCCGCCACAGATGTCGCCACATACCCCACGCGCACCTCCCACAATCAGTGCCATCTCTTATCTCTCCAAAGTAAGGTTAAGTCCCCCAGTGTCATGTTCCACTTCGCCAAACCCCACCCTGCGCACCCTTTCACCCGAAAAATGTCAATCCAACCCCTGAAAGAAATCTTCCTCAAGTCCGTCGAGTCCGTGCAACCGCACCACCTCATCCCCAGCCAAGTCCACGTAACCAACAGCCACCTATCGATCCAAAACCGAAGCTACCCTCTCCACAAACCCTGCTATCTAGTGGGCTTCGGCAAAGCCGTCCTCGGGATGTCCCTCGAACTCGAAAAGCTCCTCAAGGACAAACTCAACACGGGCTTAGTGACCGTCCCCTCCGGAATCCTCTCGAAGTTCAAAGTCGAGTCGAGAATTAAGTTTATCGAGGGCGCGCCCAACAACATCCCTGACGAGGCGGCCCTTCGAGGCGCCCTCGAGATTAAGACTCTGGCGGAGGGTTTGGGGGCGGACGATTTGCTGGTGGTGGTGATGTCCGGCGGAGGGTCGGCGCTGCTGCCGCTGCCTAAGCCCCCGATTACGTTACAAGAGAAGCAGGATTTGATTAAGGCATTATCGACTAAGGGTGCGGACATATTAGAACTTAATTGTGTCCGTAAGCAAATATCGGTGCTAAAAGGGGGTGGATTAGCAGAGTTGGCTTATCCTGCGAGGGTTGTCACTTTGGTGCTGTCGGACGTGGTGGGGGACCCGTTGGGGTTTATCGCCAGCGGACCGACGTATCCCACTTCTGATGATGAGGATGCAGCCGCCATCTTGGATAAATATGGCTGCCACGATTTACCCGACTCCATTAAAACGGTTCTAACCCAGAAAAAGACAAAACAAGAAACTATAATTCACAGTAAGCTACACTAAAACAATTTCTTTTGTAATTTTTTGTTGTAGATGGTCGATACGACCACGTGGACACGTTCATCATCGGGAATAATGTAATCGCGGCGGAGGCGGCGTGCCGCCACGCCGCCTCCCTAGGTTTCCAAACCGCCGTATTATCAACCTCGGTGGCGGGCAGCACCCACCAACTAAGCCAAACTTACGCCGATTTAGCCGCCGCCATCGCCGATCCATCCGACAAACAACCCCTTAAAAATTTTCTACAAAAGTGTGACCTTCCGATTTGCCCCGACTTCGCGGACGCCGCCTCCGGCTGGGACTTGGGGGCAGAAGTGTGCGTAATTGCCGCCGGCGAGCCGACGGTTGTGGTCAATGGCGGCGGCAGAGGAGGACGCAACCAGCAATTAGCTTTAGAGCTTTCGGTTCGACTTAATAAGCTTAACATAAAATCGGCTGATATTTCATTTCTCAGCGGTGGAACAGATGGAATAGACGGCCCAACTGACGCCGCCGGGGCAATCGGAACTTCAGATTTAGTTAATAATGGCCTCGAGGAGAATATTAAAGCCGAGGATTATTTAAACAACAACGATTCGTATGGTTTTTATTCGAGGCTACGGGGAGGCGAGTTCTTGATTAAGATCGGACACACGGGCACCAATGTCATGGATGTACACGTTATGCTCGTAAAGCCAAGGAGGGCGCGTGAATGCTAAGCGGGAGCGGCGATTTGTGGGGCGGCGTGGCGGCGGAATGGTATTAATTGCGAAATTCAGAAGTGTGTGGAGGAACTCATTTTTTGTCTGAAAATTTATTTTTAAATATGGTTATTATTAATTAAGGAAAATATATTTTTCACCCTTTTTGAAATAGAGATTTCTGTATTTAATTATTATCCACCAATTTTCCCAAAAATTAATTCCATTAAATCGATTTGAAAATCACTGATTCCAATTGGATATTTTCTCGGGATTATGAATATGTGCTTATTTGTGTTTTGCTTCTTCAAATAAGTGACAAGATGTCATTTTTGTATAAGAAATGGGTCAAATCAGTACCGAAAGTAGATATCGTTTCAGATTTCAATCCAAAGTTGTATTATTTTGTTCAGATGTCGTGATATTTAAACAAATGCTGAAAATACTTTAAATTTGTTGAAATCAGGATTTTTAAATAAATTATTATCCCGGCGCTTCCATCATTTTTACCCCAAAAATTATATCAATCTGAATAGGGGTTAATCCTCTTGGAAATTTATATTTCTAAAGACTTCTCAGATTTTATCAAGATTTCTGGAGATTTCTCAAAATTTTTAAAGATTTTTTAAGATCACTTAGGATTTCTCAAGATTTCTCAACATTTCTCAGGATTTTTCCAGATTTTCCAAGGTTTATAAGTTTTGAGATTTCGAGATTTCTCAAGATTTCTTCGAAACTTGGTCGAGGGTTTTCGAGCTTTATTGACATTTCTCAAGATTTCTTAGGATTTCTCAAAGTTTCCAGGTTTAGAGATTTCTCAAGGTTTCTCAAGATTTCCCCGAGACTTCTAAGAGATTTCCTTGAGATTTCCGCAAGATTTCTCCAGATTTCTCACATTTCTCAAAATGTCTCTAGATTTGTTTGAATTTCTCAAAGTTTCGAGGTTTCGAGATTTCCAGATTTCTCAATCTTCTCCAGATTTTAAAAGATTGCTCGGTATTTCTCAAGATTACTGAAAACTTCTTAAATTTATCAAGATTTTTCAAAATGTCTCAATATTTCTCGAGACTTCTGAAGATAACACAGGATTTTAAATGATTTCTTAAGACCTTTCAAAATTTCTCGAGATTTCTCAAAATTTATCAAGATTTCACAAAATTTCTAAGTATTTCTCATAATTTTTCGAGGGTTTGAGGTTTCGAAATTTCTCAATATTTCTGAAAATTTCTCAAAATAGCTTAAGGTTTCTCAAGATTTCTCAAAATTTATCAACATTTCTCAGGATTTCTCATGATTTCTAAGGGTTCAGAAATTTCGAGAGATCTCAGAAATTTTCAAGATTTCTAAATATTGCAAGTCTGAAGATCTCTCTAGGTTTGTCAAGACTTTTCAAGATTTTTCGAAGATTTCTCACGATTTCTCAGAATTGTTCAAGGTTTTTCAAGATTTCTCAGGATTTCTCAGCATTTCTTAGGATTTGTTACGAATGCTCAAGATTTCTAAAAGTTTTTAAATCTCGAGATTTCTCAAGATTTGTCAACGTTTCTTAGAATTTTTCAAGATTTCTTAACATTTTTAAAGGTTTCTTTGGTAGTATTTTTTTGAAAATTCTCGAAATAAAAAATTTTGAAATTAATTATTTTCCCGGCGCCTCCACCTATTTTACCCCAAAATTAACTTCATAAATAGATCAGGACGGTAGACAGACGGACAGACAGACAGAGAGACGGAAACGGGAGACCTATTTCTTCGGACTCTTGGGGTCAACGGACTTGATTACAATACTTCCTTATACATAGTATTCTTTGAACAACACGACATTCAATAACACGTTTTTTATTTCTTCAAGAGAAATAAGGATTTTGCAGCTAAGCTCGGCCTTCTTGGCGCACGACGAATAAAAAAATCATCAGAATTGAAACTGGGTGGGTGGGCGGGGCTTATATTTTGCCGTTTGATCTTAATATGCGTAGTCATCTTTTCACAACAAGAAACTAAAAATATGTTTAAAGCAGTAAATTTGTATAGACAAATATCGATTTTGCAATTAAGCTCCACCCCTCGGCTTACGACGAATAAAAAAAGCATCAGAATTAAGATAGGGTGGGTGGGCGGGGCTTATATTTTCCCTTTTTTTTCTCAATATACATAGACATCTTTTGATAACAAGAAACTTAAAACCTGGTTAAAATTGTTTTGCAAGGAAACATTAATTTTGCAATTATGGGGCGGGGACTAATTGCAAATCGATATTTCCTTATACAAATTTTCCATTTTAAACATGTGTTAGGTTTCATGTTGTGAAAAGAAATCTACACTTATTCACACAAAAACACAAAATATAAGCCCGCCCACCCACCCTATCTCTATTGTGATGATTTTTTTATTCGCCGTTAACCCAGGAGGCGGAGCTTAACTGCAAAATATTTATTTCTTTACCATAAATCACAAACATGTTGAGTATCGTGTTGTTCAAACTATAATATGTATATTAAGAAAAAAAGGGCAAAATATAAACCCCGCCCACCCACCACGTCTAAATTGTGATGATTTTCTTTATTCTTGGAAACTTAATACACGTTTAAAATAGTAAATTTTTATAGACAAACAAGGATCGTGCAATTAAGCCCCGCCCCTCCATCTCACGACGAATGAAAAATTCATCACTATTGAGTTTGGGATGGATATGGGTGGGGTCTAATCTTTAGCTTTATTATTTTCTTAATATACATAGTATTCTTTGAACACGATACTCAAAACATGTTTTTAATATTTGGTAGAAAAATAAGGATTTTGCAGTTAAGCTCCCTCCTCTTGGCTCACGGCGAATAAAAAAAATCATCAGAATAGAGATAGGGAGGGTGGGCGCGGCTTACATTTTGCCTTGTTTTTCTTAATATACATAGCCATTTTTTCATAACAAAAAGACAGAATGTAAGCCCGCCCGCCCACCCTATCTCAATTCTGATGATTCTTTTTATTCGTCGTAAGCCAAGAGGGCGGAGCTTAACTGCAAAATTATTATTTCTTTACAAGAAATGAAAACATGTTTTTCAGTATCGTGTTATTCAAAGAATAATATGTATGTTAAGAGAACAAGGCAGAATATTGACCCCACCCACCCACCCCATCTCGATTGTGATGATTTTTTTAATCCTTAGATGCTTAAAACATATTTAAATTGGTCAATATTTGTAGACAAATATGGATCTTGCAATTAAGCCCCGCCTCTCGATCACACGACGAGAACTTGGGATGGATATAGGTGGGGTCTAATCTTTGCCTTTATTATTTTCTTAATATACATAGTATTCTTTGAACACGATACTCAAAACATGTTTTTAATATTTGGTAGAAAAATAAGGATTTTGCAGTTAAGCTCCCTCCTCTTGACTCACGACGAATAAAAAATGATCAGAATTGAGACTGGGTGGGTGGGCGGGGCTTAGATTTTGCCTCTTCTTTCTTAATATATATAGCCATCTTTTCATAACAAAGAGACAAAATATATATGACATATTTTGCGTTTTCTTTCTTAATATATATAGCCATCTTTTCATAACAAAAAGACAAAATGTAAGCCCGCCCACCCACCCTATCTATATTGTGATGATTTTTCTCATTCGCCGTTAAACAAGGAGGCCGAGCTTAACTGCAAAATATTTGTTTCTTTACAAGAGATCACTAACATGTTTTTGAGTGTCGTGTTGTTCAAAGAATACTATGAGTATTAAGAAAAAAAAAAAGGCAAAATATAAACCCCGCCCACCCACCCCGTCTCGTTTGTGATGATTTTTTGAATCTTTAGAAACTTAAAATATGTTTAAAATGGTAAATTCTTGTAGATAAATATGGATCTTGCAATTAAGCCCCTCCCCTCCATCTGACGACGAATGAACAATTTGTCACAATTGAGTTTGGGACGGATATGGGTGGGGCCTAATCTTTTGCTTTACTATTTTCTTAATCTACATAGTATTCTTTGAACCCGATACTCAAAACTTGTTTTTTATTTTTGGTAGAGAAATAAGGATTTTGCAGTTAACCTCGGTCATCTTGGCTCACGACGAATAAAAAAATCATCAGAATAGAGATAGGGTGGGTGGGCGGGGCTTATATTTTGCCTTGTTTTTCTTAATATACATAGCCATTTTTTCATAGCAAAAAGACAAAATGTGTGTGAATTCTTGTAGGTAAATATCGATCTTCCAATTAAGCCCCGCCCGTCGATCTGACGACCAATGAAAAAAATCATCACAATTGAAATAGGGTGGGTGGGCGGGGCTTCGTTTTGCTTTTTTGACAACGGAGTTTATAAATGACAACTTTCAGCTCTAAAAGCAGTGGGAACAGCAACTGCAACCATTTTATCTAAAGAATTTAGTCGATTTAATAACCGTTAATCCTATGGTAAATTTTCTCAGGATTACCAATCTTTCTTAATTTTTCTTGTCTCTTGAAATAATCGAGACAAAAGCACATATGTAAGAAATTTTTACCAAATTTGAGGAATTATTTTTCTCTATTCCAACCTATGCTTTTTCTATTATTTGGTTTAGTAGATTTGAAATATTTAAATAAATACTTAGGTTCGTTTAAGGAATCCTAGCTCCCGTAGATTTTTTTATATTCTCGATATAGAAAATATTGAAACTGATTATTGTCCCGGCGCCTCCACCAATTCTAACCAAAACTTAATTTCATTAAATCGATCTGAAAAAGGATGATTCCTATTGAAACTTTGCTAGGGATCACGAAAATGTGTTTTTTGTCGTTGTATGTCTGCAAATGACCGAGAAGAAGGCATTTTTGTGTAAAAATTGGGTCAAATCGAGGAGATTTTGTGCAGATGTCGTGATATTTAAAGAAAACGTGAATTTCTTTGGATGTTTGCTTGCCGGCCCACGCAGACATTTCTTCAAACTTTTTCAAATCAATATTTTTAATAAAGCAAAAAAAATAACTTTATTACATGGGAAGGGGTTAATCGCATTGAAAATTTTCTAAGGATTGCGAATTTATCAGAATTTTCGTGCTCTCTCGTGAAATCACAAGATTATTATTATTATTATTATTAATTAAGAAAAATATACTTTCAGTACATTCATTTGCTTGTCGTTCGGATTCATTTCACTCATTACGTAAATCCTCTTCAATCTTTCCACTACTATTCCCCAGAGCCCCGACTCTAAAAATGTATCCACACAACTCCAGTGCCACTCTGCCACACATATTTCCGTTAGTAATTTCCAAGCTTTAATTAGCAGTCCAAACAGAATCCAATTCCAAGAATTTACTCTTTTTTAATCTCTGCAGCATCCTAATTGCCCGCCGGAGCGCGAAAAACAAAACACACTCAAGTTGTTAATTCAGCTTTAATAACCGAATATGCCCCTTTGAGCAGACGCCCCCGCGCTCACCCCTTCTTTGTACCTGCGCACCTTTGAATATTAAAATCGCCCTTATTTAGCATTAATTACCAAACGGCTCCTGCAAATGACAGTTGTAACATGAATAAGAAGCAAATTTCCCTGAATAAACCCCAAATTGAACTCCGAATGCATCAAACACTCAGACCTCGTCGAACTTTCCTCCAAGAAAAATACATCCCCAACTTTCCGCGACAATTATTTTTATTTAATAACTCGCCAAGTTGCTGAATTTTAAAGCCCGGCGAGTTATAATTTACTTAAAAATTCGCAGTGGCGGAGATCGACCCTCGGAGACGATGCATTATTTTCTAATTATGACATCGGGTGTGCTTCAGAGGCGAAGCAAGTTTAGACTGAATCATTACTTAGAACGAAAATTTCTACAAACTAGTTCGTTGTTCCTTCACGGAAAATGATGACGTTAAACCACAGCCTACCTGTACATAATAAACAAACCAACTCCCGTCCAGTGTAACAACTTAACACAGAATCAGCCCATTTAATCGAACTTAATTTAGTTAAACTCGGTCCCGCCACAAACTATTATCTCGAAATTTGAAATATAAACAAAACTCGTTCCGCCACTGCCCGCCCCCTCCCCGCCGCCAAAGCCAGCAATTAATCACGACTTCGCCGCGACAATCGTCACTTTTTGCCTCTTCGGGGGCCGAATCGATCCGCCGCCCCCAGCGCACCCCCGTGATTACAAATTTAAACGTATCACCCCCCATTCTGTTAAATGTTAAATCATGTTTGTTCTCCCCGATAAACTCGTTGAGGCGGCGAAAGCCGCCCCGAACCGTGTCGGAGCCAGCCGACGCTGTCCCCGCGTTCCGTGGCCCGTGCGCACGCTCTTAAATGAATCGCGTGTTGCCTACACTCCGCATTGCACGTTTGACAGCTGACGCGATGGCTGGTGTTGTGGAACTGTCAAAATTGTGAAAAATACGTCCGAAAATGACGAAAAGGGACAAAAGGAGGTGCTCCGTCCACTTGGTGGTCGTTGTTTTGTGTCTGGTGATCGATTTCAGCGACACCCAGCTGGTCATCAATGTCAGGAATCAGGTTAGTTTCGAGGGCATGTTTTAACCTTAATCGCGGTTTCGTCACGGTGTTTACATGTGTTTTTTGAAGGGGGCGGGCGATTTCGGCGGTGGGGTCGGGGGCGGGGGTTGTTGACTGTAGAGGCGCGGGCGAAATTAAATTTGGACGGATTGTTTTTGTGCAAAAAATTAATGAAGGCGCTAATGGGTGATTGCGGTTGCCGTGATTTGGGGGTGGGATTTTTCGAAAGTGCTTCCTGGATTATTAATAAATGGGGGCGGTTTTTCCGATGCGGGGGCGATTTTTGCGAAAATTATACACTTGGTGTACACGTTTACATAGTCGCTAAACCGCCGGCGAAAAAATCGTGAGTGAAGTGAGTCCGAAAAGCAACTTTTACGGACACTATGGTCATTTATTTTGTTGTTTTTGGATGTTTCCGCGATTGAGACAGAAGGTAGGATTTCGCCAGCGGGTGCAACAACAGAAATTGGTTTTTAGATTGAATTTTAATCTTAATTATGTTTCATATTAAAAGTAAATGGCTGCAGTTTTATATCAGATGTATTTCATAGTTCAAGATTATTTTGTGTTGATTTCACACTTTACATTATCGCCGGGGTTCGGACGTAATGTGGCCGAAGAACGTCCAAAATAGTGCCTCCTATAAAAACCATAATATCCACTCAAACCAATTATGCCATGATTTGTGTTGATTTGATGTCCAAAACCAGTGCAATCAAACAAATCCAATTTCAGAAAAACTATCAGATAATACCATTCACACTTCGCTAAAATTAAATTAAAAATCCGACGTTTAGAATTTACAAAGTTCGGCGTATGTTGTTAGTAAACTTTAATTAGTAAATTAATAATATGTATCTATCGTGTTGTTTAAAGAAAACTATATGTAACTAAAAAAAAGTCCCGATCCCGTGATGGAATTTTTATTCGTTGTCAGACGGAGAGGCGGAGCGGAATTGCAAAATACATATTTCTTTACAGAAATTCTTGTTGTGAAAAGACGACTACGCATATTAAGAAGAAAGGACAAACTATAAGCCCCACCACCCACCCGATCTAAGTTGTAATGATTTTTTTTATTCGTTGTCAGACCGAGCGGCGGAATTTAATTGCAAAATCCATATTTCTTTACAAAATTTTACCCTTTTGCAACTAAGCTCCGCCCTCGGCTCACGGTGAATAAAAAATCATCACAATTGAGAAGGGGTGGGTGGGTGGGGTCTATATTCTGGCTTGTTTTCTTAACATACATATTATTCTTTGAATAACACGATAGTGAAAAACGTGTTTTCATTTCTTGTAAAGAAATAAGAATTTTGCAGTTAAACTCGTTCACGACGTAGAAAAAAATCATCACAATTGAGATAGGGTGGGTGGGCGGGCTTACATTTTGTCTTTTTGTTATAAAAAGATGGCTATATATATTAGAAAGAAAAGGCAAAATATAAGCCCCGCCCACCCACCCAGTGTCAATTCTGATCATTTTTTATTCGTCGTGAGTCAAGAGGACGGAGCTTAACTGCAAAATCCTTATTTCTCTACCAGAAATAAAAAACATGTTTTTGAGTATCGTGTTTAAAGGAATACTATGTATATTAAGAAAATAATGAAGTCAAAGATTAGACTTCACCCATATCCATCCCAAGCTCAATTGTGATGAATATTTCATTAGTCGTGAGATCGAGAGGTGGGGCTTAATTGCAAGATCCATATTTGTCTACAAAAATCCTTGTTGTGAAAAGAAGACTACGTATATTAAGAAGAAAGGGCAACATATAAGCCCCACCCACCCACCCGGTCTCAGTTGTAATGATTTTTTTGATTCGTTGTCAGACGGAGCGGCGGAATTTAATTGCAAAATCCATATTTCTTTACAAAATTTTACTCTTGCAACTAAGCTCCGCCCTCGGCTCACGGTGAATAAAAAATCATCACAATTGAGAACGGGTGGGTGGGCGGGGCTTATATTTCGTACGTGTTTTTTAATATACGAAATTTTCTTTTCCCAACAAGAAACTGAAAAAATATTTAACTATCGTGTTGTTCAAAGAAAACTATTTGTATCTAAAAAAATGTCCTGTTCTCAATCGTGATGAACTTTTTATTCGTTGTCAGACGGAGAGGCGGAGCGTAATTGCAAAATACATATTTCTTTAGAAAATTTCTTGTTGTGAAAAGACGACTACGCATATTAAGAAGAAAGGGCAAAATATAAGCCCCACCCACCCACCCGGTCTCAGTTGTAATGATTTTTTTTATTCGTTGTCAGATCGAGCGGCGGAATTTAATTGCAAAATCCATATTTCTTTACAAAATTTTACAACTAAGCCCCGCACTCGGTTCACGGTGAATAAAAACATCATCACAATTGAGAACGGGTGGGTGGGCGGGGCTTATATTTCGTACGTTTTTCTTAATATACGAAATCTTCTTTTTCCAACAAAAAACTGAAAAAATACTCAGCTATCGTGTGGTTCAAAGAAATATTTGTATCTAAAAAAAAATGTCCTGATCTCAATCGTGATGAACTTTTTATTCGTTGTCAGACGGAGAGGCGGAGCGTAATTGCAAAATACATATTTCCTTAGAAAATTTCTTGTTGTGAAAAGACGACTACGCATATCAAGAAGAAAGGGCAAAATATAAGCCCCACCCACCCACCCGGTCTCAGTTGTAATGATTTTTTTTATTCGTTGTCAGGCGGAGTGGCGGAATTTAATTGCAGAATCCATATTTCTTTACAAAATTTTACAACTAAGCTCCGCCCTCAGCTCACGGTGAATAAAAAAATCATCACAATTGAGAACGGGTGGGTGGGCGGGGCTTATATTTAGTACGTTTTTTTTAATATACGAAATCTTCTTTTCCCAACAAGAAACTGAAAAAATCTTTAACTATCGTGTTGTTAAAAAAAAACTATGTGTATCTAAAAAAATGTTCTGATCTCAATCGTGATGAATTTTTTATTTGTTGTCAGACCGAGAGGCGGAGCGTAATTGCAAAATACATATTTCTTTAGAAAATTTCTTGTTGTGAAAAGACGACTACGCATATTAAGAAGAAAGGGCAAAATATAAGCCCCCCCCCACCCACCCGGTCTCAGTTGTAATATTTTTTTTTTATTCGTTGTCAGACGGAGTGGCGGAATTTAATTGCGGAATCCATATTTCTTTACAAAATTTTACAACTAAGCTCCGCCCTCGGCTCATGGTGGATAAAAAATCATCACAATTGAGAAAGGGTGGGTGGGCGGGGCTTATATTTCGTATACGTATTGTACGAGAGATATATATATTTAAACTAAATAATAGGACAAGCATAGATTGGAATAGAGAAATATAATTCCTCAAATTTGATAAAAATTTCTTACATATGCGCTTTTGTCTCGATCATTTCAAGAGACAAGAAAAATTGGTAATCCTGAGGAAATTCACCATAGGATTAACGGTTATTTAGATCGACTAATTTCTTTAGATAAAATGGTTGCAGTTGCTGTTCCCACTGGCGTTGCTTTTAGAGCTGAAAATTGTCATTTATAAACTCCGTTGTCAAAAAGGCAAAACGAAGCCCCGCCCACCCACCCTATTTCAATTGTGATGATTTTTTTCATTCATCATCTGATCGACGGGCGGGGCTTAAATGTAAGATCGATATTTGCCTACAACAATTCACCATTTTAAATTAGTTTTAGGTTTCTAAGTTTAAAAAAATCATCACAATTGAGAAGGGGTGGGTGGGTGGGGTCTATATTGTGCCTTGCTTTCTTAACATACATATTATTCTTTGAATAACACAATACTGAAAAACATGTTTTCATTTCTTGTAAAGAAATAAGAATTTTGCAGTTAAGCTCCGCCCCCTTCGTTCACGACGTAGAAAAAAATCATCACAATTGAGACAGAATGGGTGGGCGGGCTTACATTTTGTCTTTTTGTTATAAAAAGATGGCTATATATATTAGAAAGAAAAGGCAAAATATAAGTTATATAATATTTTTGTTATAAAAAGATGGCTATATATATTAGAAAGAAAAGGCAAAATATAAGTTATATAATATTTTTGTTATAAAAAGATGGCTATATATATTAGAAAGAAAAGGCAAAATATAAGCCCCGCCCACCCACCCAGTCTCAATTCTGATCATTTTTTATTCGTCGTGAGTCAAGAGGACGGAACTTAACTGCAAAATCCTTATTTCTCTACCAGAAATAAAAAACATGTTTTTGAGTATCGTGTTGTTCAAAGAATACTATGTATATTAAGAAAATAATCAAGCCAAAGATTAGACTTCACCTATACCCATCCCAAGCTCAATTGTGATGAATATTTCATTAGTCGTGAGATCGAGAGGCGGGGCTTAATTGCAAGATCCATATTTGTCTACAAAAATTCGTGTTGTGAAAAGACGACTACGGACATTAAGAAGAAAGGACAAAATATAAGCCCCGCCCACCCACCCGGTCTCAATTGTAATGATTTTTTTTATTCGTTGTCAGACCGAGCGGCGGAATTTAATTGAAAAATCCATATTTCTTTACAAAATTTTACTCTTCGTAGGTTTTTTTTTAATATACGAAATCTTCTTTTCCCAACAAGAAACTGAAAAAATATTAAACTATCATGTTGTTCAAAGAAAACTATATGTAACTAAAAAAAAGTCCCGATCTCGTGATGAAGTTTTTATTTGTTGTCAGAACGAAACGAGAGGCGGAGCGTAATTGCAAAATACATATTTCTTTACAAAAATTCTTGTTATGAAAAGACGACGACGGATATTAAGAAGAAAGGGCAAAATATAAGCCCCACCCACCCACCCGGTCTCAATTGTAATGATTTTTTTTATTCGTTGTCAGACCGAGCGGCGGAATTTAATTGCAAAATCCATATTTCTTTACAAAATTTTACTCTTGCAACTAAGCCCCGCTCTCGGCTCACGGTGAAAAAAAAAATTCATCACAATTGAGAACGGGTGGGTGGGCGGGGCTTATATTTCTTAC